TGATGCCCTGCTTTTGTATTTTAGAGCAGGATCGTCTCTTGCTCATTATGGTGGGAGTCACAGGATGATGGCATCTTGAAAATCATGGAACTCTTTAGAACATCTCTCTGATTATGTTTGTCTTTTGTATGGACAGAAAAATAAAATAAAAACACCAATTATGCATTGTGTTTGTCGTCTGATTTTCATTTTTTTGTCAGACTCAATCTATGAGGTGACTTTTAAATAACTGATCCATTTTGAAATGTGGGTTCACTCTAGAGATCAACTTGCTAACTGTCTTCAAAATCCTCTAAAGGCATAGTCCATCCCAGGTCTCCGTTTGCATCAAAGAAATGTGAGGGGTCTTTGTGAACTCTTGTCATGTGGCACTTGAGTGTCCCGAGGCTGAAGAATAATCTTGAACACATGCTGCAGGGCCATGTGTTTAAAGTATGATGCCGCATGTGCTTGTCAAACTTGGCCTTTAATTTAAACTTGATGTTACAGATGTGACATAAGTGCCTGACAGGCAAAGCATTGGTGGGATTAACAGAGGTCTCCATGGGCTCCTCCTTGATGGTAACTTGACTTCTGCTAAGAGCAGGTACGTTGTCTTCCTCATGGGTGTTTGTCGAGTTTTTGGCTTCATTCTTCATCAATTTCCTGTAGTTTTTACATGACTTTTTATGTACATTGGTGAATTCCACATAAGGAAAGACATTTCTGCAGCCTTGGCATGTTTTGTGATAACGTATGTGTGTTTTTAAGCCACCTTTTGTAGTGAAATTCTTGTTGCAATACATACAGGAAAAAAATGTGGGGTTGTTTTCCACAACATTGGGTCCAGTGGACTTTGAATCTTTGTCTGCAGAGTTGCTCTGATCACTTGGATTTTTCTTTGGTAAAGTTGTCTCACTTTTATTTCTGGTTCGAAGGCGCGCCAAATCTAAAATATCAGAGTGTTGGCGGCGATTTTCCTCTAGAAGCTTGTACATATCTTTTTTGATCGGCTTTTGTTGTCTTTGATTCTGTTGATCACAGTTCAACTTCGTTCTGATCAGGCCATGCTCCAACTCTGCATTAGCACCAGAAACTGTCAAAAGAATACAGAAACAAAAAAACACATGAACAGAGAAGACATCGGCAACAAACTGGACAAATTTTTCAGCAGGCTAAATAAATACTCCAAAAAAGTGAAAAGTAAAAACTACAGAGCTTAACTTACACTTACCAGATGTTTTGGAGTGCCCTTTTCTCTTCAGGTGGATGGAATAGTTACTTGCCTTAAAAAAAAAAAAGAGACATCGTCAATAAAATATGCAATTAAAAAAAAAGTGTCACATAACAAATGCAGTGACCCACACAAACACAGGCTTTAGTCTAAAATCTGACCATAATGTTAAGACCAACTGTTTCTTTGAACATGTTTTGTAGTGTGTGTTCATAGCTGTGTTTGTTTTAAATGGTCTTGCTATTCAGGCAGACAAGTGGTTATTTAAAATGAATGAGTTTAGATTTTCTAAGTTAACATCTACAAACATTATTGTGAGAACATATGTATAAAGTATTATCATTAATTTGAGTGTGTTTGCTTAAGAAATATTGTTCAACATCATCAAACCGTGCAGCAGCGTGCAGAAGGGCGCGAACATCTCGAGATTACAGACATTTGTTTCTTCCGATAAGGGGGCCAGCTGCATCCAGGTGAAAGGACAGACCATCTTATCTTAGAATGCAGGACAGGGCTGAAGAACAGATCTTTATGTCGGTTGTGTTACTGCATGCTTGTGTTGTATCATTCCCTCCTTGCTACATGTAAAACTCAAAAATGTGACTTTTGTGTCGTGACTCATTGGTGTAAGGTTTTAATGAACACAAGAAACATTCCCCAGACAATTATCTCAAAGAGAAAGGAAACTCAGCCAAATTAAAATAATAAAGAACAAACTGATTATTTTATTTACCCCCAAACTGCTTGTTTGTCTATCTGCTTTTCCCCTGAGGGTTTTCCTCACGAACACAGTCTCGAAACCATACAACATCATTGGTCTCACCACTGTCTTGTACAACGTTCCTTTCATTCCCGCTGAAACCTTTCCATCACACCACATCACTCCCATTCTAGCTGGATAACATCTCGTGTATAATCAGGTGTTAGACACTCATCTGATTTGCATGTGGCAAAGCAGACAAACAACTCCAGAGTTCATCAGCTTTGCTTGGCAAGGGTAAATGTTTTCTTACTTCCATGTCATATTTCTGGGATACTATTTCAATCAAAGCCAGGGTGCAGATCAACAAATCAGAATGTCAAGAAGATTATTGGATATTTTTCAAATAATCAGTTAATTAAGCAAAAACAATGATTACGACAAGTTGCATTCCCCCCCCCCCCCCCCCAGTCCGTAGTTGAGTGAGAGCGTGTGTGTGCGCAATTTGTAGTTCCAATGGGATTGAAAGGAATGTTGAGAGGATGATTATTACTTAGATTACGATCCAGAGACTGCATTAAATGAATAAACACTATTTGTGTCAAGTTTGAGGACTAAACTGACAACATCTGTTAGATTTTGATCACAAGACCCATCATCATCACAATGACAAACGATGGACGTTTCACCTCTGCCTTGACAGGAATTTGGCTCAGTTGAATGGAAAATGGGCGCAGCTTCACGTTGGGGTACAGACCCTCTTCTTTCTGGGTCCCAGTCTCACAGCCAAGTGGAGCACAGTGTTCATAAGATCCTGCCAAGATTTGTACACAAAGACATGAACATTTAATGTGATTTTATTTATTAAACAACACTTACTGTACATACTAGTAATGCACAGTATAAAGAGTATATGGTTAATATGATATAAATGAATCCACTGATAGAGATTTTCACTCTACCGGCCAACCGTGATTGTGCACGAATGTTGCAAGCTGCATCAGCTTACAACCAAAGCAGCTGCTTCTGCATCATGGAGTGGGTGGATGAAGACAAGCTCATAAAGAAGACGAGGCAACGACGGTTATACAGACCTGGTTTGGGTTTAAGGATGTTGGGCAGAAAAACATACTCAGTAAAATGTGCTGGGTGACTTATCTGCTTTAATGGCTTGTTAACACAAACTCCCTTGAATGACAATTGTTTTTTTAATACAAGATTCATAATTGAAAACTCGGAAGGTGTGAAAAAAATGACAAACTTTTACATTTGATGGCAAGCCGTCCCCGTTTCAGTAATATCTAATCCAGAACTTGCATTTTGTTGAAGTGAAATAAAAATCTGGTTATTGCAGTAAAGTCTGTACTGGATATATGCAGATTCATTGCAGGGTTTGCAGCATGGATCCCCATTTCTGTGAACGCAGCAAATTGTAAAGAAGACAGGGTAACATCGGTTAATCAGACCTGGTTTGAGTTTAAGGAGGCTGTTGAGTAGAAAAACATCCTCAGTTAAATATTCTGGGTGCCTATATAAAGAGCACCCTGACCCGACTCCTGTCATAAGTGTTCATGTGTGAAGCATCTCTTCCAGACGTATCTCCAGAACCCATCAAAGATTATTTTATATTCAACATGATTGAAAACACTTCTCTATCCAACACCTCCATGATGGAATCTCTTTGTACCATTGAAAATAATGAAGATTCGTGTCTGTGGGGCGACTTGGTTGAAGAAGAATTGGGTGAGTTACCAGACGTGGGAATTATTATTTATCCCTATGACCCAATTTATGACGAGGAAATAATGAATCATGACAATATTGCGACTATGAGCGACTAAGATGATGCCAGCTGCAGAATCCCAGAACCAGACATGTGTTCTGTCACCTCTAGTTGATAAAATATTCATGATATTAGGGCTGAAACGATTCCTCGAGTACCTCGAATAATTCAAGTACAAAAAAATCCTCGAGTCAAATTCTCTGCCTCTGGGTTTCGTTTAATTCATGTTTAATTAATTCATGGCTTTGCAATCGCCCGGGGTCATGTTTCACCCGGACCGAAATAAGTAGCGCACAAACACACTGCACTGAATGCACACGCGAGTAGCGAATGTAACTTCACTTTCTCTTAAGCCATGGCGGACAACGTGGACCCCGGTGGAGTGGGAAAAAAACAGAAAATGTCAAAGGTGTGGGACCATTTTTCACGTCGTAAGGCGGAAAACGTAGTCCAGTATAAATACTGTAAAATGGATTTAGCCTACCACAACACACACGTTTAAATTAGCTGACTTACATTTAATCTTGAAATTTGCCCCCGAAGAAGCTGCCAGCTTCTGATCCGCTATCCTTTTGAAAATACTGCGGTGTATTCTGGGTAATTTTTTACCGAGGCTAGGCTACAAGAAACTTCCTGTGTATCCTTGCTCAGCTAGCTAAACGGCTAACAAACGGAGAACAAAAGCCTCGGTAGAACATGAACATTGGAACACGCCTTGGCGGTTTCTGATGACGTATCTCCTAGGCCAGTGGTTCCCAACCTTTTTCCCAAGGGACCCCTTTGCTACCAGTCAAATTTTTTGACGACCCCCTCCCATTCTCTCTTCCAGTACAAACATTATTAAGAAATGATAAAATTGTTCAAGCACATTTTAATATGCTTTGATTCAATAGATAACAGTAATACAAGTGCTGGCCAGTAAATTAGAATATCATCAAAAGGTTGAAAATATTTCAGTAATTCCATTCAAAACGTGAAACTTGTACATTATATTCATGCAATGCACACAGACCAATGTATTTCCAATGTTCATTACGTTTAATTTTGATATTTATAGGTGACAACCAATGAAAACATCAAATCTGGTATCTCAGAAAATTAGAATATTCTAAAGGCCAATGAAAAAATGTTTGTTTCTCTAATGTTGGCCAACTGAAAAGAATGAACATGAAAAGAATGTGCATGTATAGCACTCAATACTTAGTCGGGGCTCCTTTTGCCTCAATAACTGCAGTAATGCGGCGTGGCATGGACTCGATCAGTCTGTGGCACTGCTCAGGTGTTATGAGAGCCCAGGTTGCTCTGATAGTCGTCTTCAGCTCCTCTGCATTGTTGGGTCTAGCGTATTGCATCCTCCGCTTCACAATACCCCATAGATTTTCTATGGGGTTAAGGTCAGGCGAGTTTGCTGGCCAATCAAGGACAGGGATACCATGGTCCTTGAACCAGGTGCTGGTGGTTTTGGCACTGTGTGCAGGTGCCAAGTCCTGTTGAAAGGTGAAGTCTGCATCCCCATAAAGTTGGTCAGCAGCAGGAAGCATGAAGTGCTCTAAAACTTCCTGGTAGACGGCTGCATTGACCCTGGACCTCAGGAAACAGAGTGGGCCAACACCGGCAGATGACATGGCACCCCACACCATCACTGACGGTGGAAACTTTACACTGGACCTCATGCAACGTGGATTCTGTGCTTCTCCGCTCTTCCTCCAGACTCTGGGTCCTTGATTTCCAAAGGAAATGCAGAACTTGCTTTCATCAGAAAACATAACTTTGGACCACTCAGCATCAGTCCAGTCCTTTTTGTCCTTGGCCCAGGCGAGACGCTTCTTGCGCTGTTTCTTGTTCAAGAGTGGCTTGACACACGGAATGCAACACCTGAATCCCATGTCTTTCATGAGTCTCCTCGTGGTGGTTCTTGAAGCGCTGACTCCAGCTGCAGTCCACTCTTTGTGGATCTCCCCCACATTTTTGAATGGGTTTGTCGTCACAATTCTCTGCAGGGTGCGGTTATCCCTAGAGCTTGTACACTTTTTTCTACCACATTTTTTCCGTCCCTTCGCCTGTCTGTTAATGTGCTTGGACACAGAGCTCTGCGAACAGCCAGCTTCTTTAGCAATCACCTTTTGTGTCTTGCCCTCCTTGTGCAAGGTGTCAATGATTGTCTTTTGGACAGCTGTTAAGTCAGAAGTCTTCCCCATGATTGTGGTGCCTTCAAAACAAGACTGAGGGACCTTTTAAAGGCCTTTGCAGGTGTTTTGAGTAAATCAGCTGATTAGAGTGGCAGCAGGTGTCTTCTATATTCAGCCTTTTCAGAATATTCTAATTTTTTGAGATACCAAATTTGGAGTTTTCATTAGTTGTCACTTATGAATATCAAATTTAAATGTAATGAACATTGGAAATACATTGGTCTGTGTGCATTGCATGAATATAATGTACAAGTTTCACGTTTTGAATGGAATTACTGAAATATTTTCAACCTTTTGATGATATTCTAATTTACTGGCCAGCACTTGTAGTAGGCTGTGCTTGACTGTTTGTATTACTTTTCTGAACACATTGTTTCTTGTAAACACTGATAAATCAATCATTCCTTTCAATAAATGTTTGACACATAAAAAATACACTGAGCAAAATGTACTTAAATGTGTATATTACTGTTTATACTAGATTATTTACTGTAAAGGCTGTGATTAATCAACCAGTCCTATCTTTAATGAACTTTTGACAATTGAAATTAAAACAGTGAGCTGAGCAAAATGTTCTTAAAAGTGTTACTTTTTCTGTACTAATTATTTCCTGTCTTAATATCAGTAAATTTTTCACTCATGAAAAAAAAATGTGAGCAAAATGTAGGCTATAAACAAGTAATAAATGAAGTTTTAACCCCTTAAAGTGGAAAGGTCCTGGCGACCCACTGCGAGGCTTTGTCGCCCCCTTGTGGGGCCGGGACCCCCAGGTTAGAAACCACTGTCCTAGGCAACCGGAGCTGGGCCATGACATCAAGGCAAAGTTCCTTGGCATTGAGCAACACCCATGGTGTCCACTGATCTCTGATCAGAGATGAGAAAGCACATTGGCATGTCACATCCAAACGCAAAAGGCATTGGTAACGGTACTCTCAGTCATTAGACGGGGTTCGACTCCCTGTGATGCCCTTCTGATTGGACAGACATGTCAAAACCTCGCCACGCCTGACACCTGTCATCTGTTCATGAACTACTATGGACTACAAATGCTATTTTCTAACTCCGCTTGTTTTGTGCCATGGATTTCACATATGATGTCCATGAATTTTTAAGGTGCATTTTGATACCAGGAATGTGCTTATTTTTGAATGGGGGAACGCTATTTTAGTGTGAAAATAAGTCCAGAATTACAAATGCGCTTCATAAAATTGACGTCACCGAACCAGACACGGAGAAAACTGAGGGAAAATTGCTGTAAGTTCAGCAAACTTCTCACAGGAGGAAAGAACCACCATAAATCTGGTCATTTGGTAAGTTGCAGCTACTTTGGGGAGAGGAGATTGTGTGGCGACGTCACATATGCTACGTGCCAATTTCTAGTTTGTAGTAATGCTCATTGCAAACTTTTACAAGCTGATAAATCTCAAAGTAGGTGACTGGCCATTCCTATCTGTACCTGGTCGGCCCGGCCCGGATAGCATAGCTTGCTTACATATCTTGGTGGCCTGCCTTTTTACAGGGTGAAACAAGTTTTTCAGCCCTCTTTCTGAGGTGGTCTGCTTCAGGCTGACCAGGCCCAACACACCCACTGCCGACTGATAAGCCGGTGTCGGTACAAGATCTGCTCGGGTGCAAAATCGGCTCGGGGTCCGTTCACTGCCGATGACGTCTAAGTAGTTGATTGGCTGAACATGAACCTTACGGAATTACATAATCACGTTACGTTGTTATCACGTTACGTTGGTCCAGGCAAATCTTTCTGTTGGATGGACAACTTTTACAAAGAAATCCATCATTACCTCTTTGAAAATAAACGTTTAGCATAGAGCTGCATGTATATTAGGGCTGAACGATTAACAGCATGTGCAATTAAATTGCGATGTGACAAAAGGAGATTTTCTAATCGCAAAGGCTGCAATTTGGCAGCGAGTGGTTAGCGCAATGCTAATATACGTGGAAAAACCCATAGGAATGCTAATGCTAATATCGCCGATTACATTATTACAAATTATGAATTAGAAACGTGCCAAATGATTACATTTGGAGTCTAATAGAAAGTAAAACTACCATCAATCAAATAAGTACAGACAGGTATTTTAGTAAAGCCAGAACACTTAACTCCAGAGTTTTGGCTAGCTGCTATGAGCGTAACTGAACTACGCATGGACAAGACGTCAAAAACTCTAAACACAAAATACTTCAATAAACGGGACACACTTCTTTCCTGTAAATACAATTTCACAGGTGTTGCTAATACCTATGATCCTTCAAGGGATGTGCTCAAAGAGGAGTTCAACATTATGAATAAAATATAGTGTTTTACTTTACAAATACCATTATAAACACAAACTTACGTCTTAAGAAACATTATTTTAATAACGAAACTGCTAAATTCTTTCTAACAGTATAGATGTGTAGTGTATTTTGTCCGAGTGGGTTTGCCGTATTTTGACGTCATCGGCAGTCGAAGGACTCCGAGCCAATTTTGCACCCGAGCAGATCCTGTACCGACACCGGCTTATCAGTCAGCAAATTCACACCTTCCATTAGAGCAAGCCTCTGATTGGTGGGTAGAATCAGCCCACATGGGCTTAAGGCACGCTCAAATCATTATCATTCATTATCATGCTGATTACCTAGAAGCTGAAAATGTCTGACTGCATTCCTTGCATACCTAAGCAAGGATGTGTGGAATCAACCGGGCCAGGCTGGGGCCGACTGAAGCTATCCGGGCAGGGCCGACCACGTAAGATGGGAATGGCCCATAAAGCTTGGTTTATGCTTGACGCATTCACTTTCCGCGCGGTGATGCGGCTTGCGGATGGAACGTGCTTCACAACTCGCAGCTTTTAATGGTTCGTGCGGCTCGTCTCTGCGGTGAGCCAATGTTCTCCCAAACTGAACGGGGCAGCATGGAGCTCTACGGCATGCACCCAACACTACACCATAGTAGAAGTAGAAATTACTGTTTACAATAGGGCTGCAGCTATCGAATATTTTTGTAATCGAGTACTCTATCGAATCTTTTTTTGATTAATCGAGTACTCTAATAAATTACCCTTTTGTGTTTGTAAACCTTTATATCATATATTGATGAGCCAAGATGGCTTCGAGTATGGCTGCCTCGTCGCGAGCTCCACCAAGTTCCAACATTACACACTCCATACTGTACATTAATGCCACCGTTTTGCACATACCAACCTCTGTACATTTTATATCTCTTATCTTATTGTTTACTTTATTCATTTGTATACTTAGATTAGCCATTTTTATATTTTACTTGTTTTTACATTACTGTATTTTTGCACAACTCTGTTGCTGTGAAGCTCGCACACAAGAATTTCACTCGCATGTACTGTACCAGTGTACCTGCACATGTGACGTGACAATAAAAGTGATGATATCAAATAGCATGTTATAATTATGAAAGACCTCTTAAAATGAGCAAGCAATTGCCAGTTATTCTTCAAGTTTTATTCAAAATTCGTTTGCAAAACTTCAGCACTTCAACTTTACTTCACAGTAAACAAATGCCTGTGCAAAAAATAAGTAAACAACCTGAGCCGATTTTCCCCTCGTGTGAGAATCTGCTAGCCTGCAAGCCAGACAAAAACTAGGAGGATAACGCTGCGAGCGGCTGCGGCCCAAACAGAACCAGAACCGCTCACGGCGCAAACAGCTCGCCGGCTGTTTCCCTATTAACACACGTCCGTTTTAATTTCTACACTTTTTTTTCTCACACTAACAAGGATTGCCAAAAGCATGTTTGCTGTGGTTTTGTCAAATTATACTGATCACAAAACATTTATTTACTTTCTTTCGTTTTCCTCCGCCACTCATAAATACCCGTGTCCTCCTGCAGAAACCCCGAGGGACAACAGACATCAATAACACAATAAAAAGTCCGACGTGTTGTGTAAAAACTGCTATTTTTAGCACATTTTAAGTCCGACGTGTTGCTACCAGATGTAAGGTGTGAGCTGAAACTGAGTGCTACAAACGAAAAAGTCGCAGAGTCCGCAGAATATATAGAAAAACAGGCTAAAATGCATTATCTTGTAGAGGCTCCGAGTCCGCTTGCAGAAGTGACATTTACAGGTGCTGCAGCATGGAGGATGTGGTGTTGTGCTAGGCTAAATCCATTTTACTGTATTTATACTGGACTACGTTTTCCACCTTACGACGTGAAAAATGGTTCCATATCTTTGACATTTTCTGTCTTTTTCGCCCTCCACCGGGGTCTACGTTGTCCGACATGGCTTAAGAGAAAGTTAAGTTATATTCGCTACTCGCGTGTGCATTCAGTCCAGTGGGCATGTGCGTCACTTATTTCGGTCCGGGTGAAACGTGACCCCGGGCGATTGCAAAGCCATGAATTAATTAAATATGAATTAAACGAATCCTCGAGGCAGAGAATTTGACTCGAGGATTTTTTGTACTCGAATTATTCGAGGTACTCGAGGAATCGTTTCAGCTCTAGTTTACAACATGGCATTCCAGCATTTTTAACAGCGTTCTCGTCTTTTCCGACAGTGCGAGCTATTTCTCTCCAAGAATTATTTACAACATGTTGATCACGGTGATCTCTGAGAGCTGAATCATACAAATGTCTGTATTTACGAACCTCTGCCATACTAGTTCTTGCCGGTCCGCCATGTTTTTCCGCGTCCGTCCGTCCGTCCGCATGGTTAGAAATTTTCCGAGGTGCGTGTTGCGGAAATTCTGGGCCGTGCGGAGACGCGGTGGAGGGGCGTGGTTGTTAAAATGACGCAAAATGACGTAACTTTTCCGCGCGGAGCCGTGCGGACCTCGCGGACGCGTCAAGCATAAACCAACCTTAAGGCTCCCTATAGAGAAACACCTGCAAGCATTAGCATTAGCTGACCTGTTAGGGATGGATCACAGACTTTGAAGTGTTTCTGCTGTTTACAATGTTTTTTTTTGTCTTTGCTGGTTTCTACATTTTGTTCCATACCACCTTGATTACCATGTTGTTCGCCAGTAGAATGCGTTCACGCTGTGGTGTGCGCAGTTAACGAAGCCTCAAATCAGGAAAAATTATTAGAGGAATTCATTGATTTGAACCATTCAATTATATATAATTATCTATAATACAGTACGTTTAAGACCTAGACATCAAACCTCAAGACTTTTTAAAAATACTTCAAAGGTATTATTTCCAAATTCATAAATTCAATGTTTTTTAAAACTTTTGATTCCTGATTACAGGGTACCAACAGAGTCTTAAAGACAGCAGGAAGAAATGTTATTTCTGTTTTTACATTTTTTTCAAGTCAAGAATTTTGTGTTTATCACATTTAGGTTACATTGTATTTAAAAAGTTGACAAGTTTTATTTATTTTATGAGAATTATTGTGTTGCGATGTTTGGAAAAAGAATCATAACATAAAAATTACATGAAAGGTTTTGTATTTGTTTATATAAGTTTGGAACATTCTATAATTTTTTTGAATTATTTGTTCTGCTGCAGCCAATCGGAATTGTTATTTCAAAAACTCATTTATAAACCAAAGAATAAATACTGCACCTGCTTCAAATTATACCATAATATAGATTTTAGACTATTGCCCACTCTTATTACACACACGTGCGCACACACACACACACACACACACACACACACACACACACACACGCACACATACACACACATTTTGCTGGTTACTCTGAGATTATGCACATGACTGTTCCTTAAGTACAGTTGTGTCATTTAATTCTGATCTAAATAATGTTAACTGTAATTAGGCTTTTGAGCAGGTTTGTTACTTTGTTAAACAGCGCTCTCATTACTTCGGCTGTACATCATTCCTTTTAAAACATTCCTGAACGTTCAGCCCGTTTTTAAATAAAATGAAGTCAGCTATCAACAAATTTGACTTACAAGATCAAGCAGCAATAAAAAGCCAGATGTTTTTTGAGTTGTAACAAACTATTACTTTACCTTTAAAATCACCCTGAGCAACTGCAGGAGCCAGTGCCGAGGCATCTGAGAAAACTTGGGTCTGTGTCTCTGCTTGTTTGGGACAGTCAGAAGGAAGGTCTTTCAGCTTTAGCTCGGCTCTCCGCAGCTTTACTTTGAGTTGAGAAATCTCTGCTGCTTTCTGCGCCAGCTGAACCTTTTGCTCGTGTAACGCATTTTCAAAAATCTTCATTACTTCAAACAAAGCTGTCCTTAGCACAGAGTCCATCGTTGTGGTCAGCTGAACTCTGTACCCCCTCATCAGTTCGTCAGCCATCGTGGAAGTGGGCTTGATGCACTTGGTTGAAGCTTTAGATTAAACAGGTTGCAGTGGAGGTACCCTAAACAGAGACATAAACAAAATTGTATAAATTCATAAATGACTTTACAGTAGTTGGTCTAATCACTAGAGCTGTAGCGAAGCGTCGATGACGTCGATGGCTCGATTCTACAAATTCGTCAACGTCAGATCCGGTAGTCGACGCACCACGCCCACTTGTTGCATCCCCAGGAGTTTGTAAATAGAGGAGGAATCTGCCTGTTTTTCCTCTAGTTCGCCCTCTTCTCCGCCTTTAACAACTCCGCCAAATACCGAAGACCCGGAACAATGTCCGTCCGCTACTAGATTCCTGTTTTGCCCGCCTTCATCTCCCGACAAAGGACAACAACTTCCGGGGTCAGATGCGCTGCTTCGTCTCTATCGCAGATGTAGAAAATCACCGGTAGTGTTTCTCCCTTCATTAAGGAGCTTCTTTCAGACATTAGGAGAGCTGTTTTTGTGGTAGCAGTCTCTCCTCCATGCTGGTCTGTTTGCTGGGTGTTTTTGGTTTATTTAAACTTGGTAACTTGAACTTAACATTGGTAAAGCTACTGTTAGCATCTTCGCTAACAGCTTCTTGCATTTGGATAAGCGGTTACGTTTTGGTTTAGAGTTAATCTTTTTTGTGGTGTAGATCTCCCTTTTATTACATTAAGATTGTTGTGGGTTTCGGTTTAGTTTAAAATATCACCTGAGTTTGGTTTAGCCACCCAGTTTAGAGTTTGGTGATCCCTATTTTGGTCCAGAACTCAGTAATCTTTGCCCAGTGGGACATTCCTAGTTATCTGTACTTTTGTTTTAATTCCCCACAAGCAGAATTAGTTTTATTATTCCCAACCTGTGGATGGAAAGATATATGTTTGTTGTTGTTGTAAATAAACCTGATCATCATTTAAACTTTTAAATCCCACGTTATTGCCCCTTCCTTTTTGCACACGAGCCCAACTCCCCTAGCCTGGCAAGCCAGACTAAATAAATGTATTATTTAAACTTTGCAAAGCAAGAATTTGGTCTAGTTCACTAGGCTACAACTCCCCAGGAAGAGTGTAACACCACTCGCCTCACACACAAACAAGTGACCAAAACAAAGCAGCATGGAGACACTCTGTCTCCAACCACCTCTCAGGCAGCAGCCTGCACTCCCATGTTTAACATGTCACCAGAACATAATCAATAAGAGCAGTGTTATACAAAATGGAAGGCCTGTAGTGTTTATTCTCTTACAGTACCAACTGATCACTTTTTTTGAGGAATTTATTTGAGATTTTCTGGTTTTTATTAATTGTGCAATAGAAAAATAATAATAATTAGATTAATCGTCTAAATAGTCGTTAGAACAGTCGACTATTCAATGAAATAATCGTCAGAATAATCGTTTTAAAACTAATCGTTTACCCCCAGCCCTACTAATCACCAATAATAACCACACACTGTACAGACAAGAGGTAGAACAGTGAATGTGTGACAACAATAAGATATCCTTAATGTGGAGAAAACCAAAGAGGTGATCCTGAACTTCAGAAGAAGCTGTGACTGTTGAAAAGTGCAGAATAGTGAGAGCTACAGAGATCATCAGCACCCAAACCCCAGGCCTAGTGGACTGATGTGCTAAAAAGACCCCCGGCCAGCAGACCACCTCTTTGTACCCTTGCCCTCAGGCAGGAAACTACAGAACATCCAGATATTGCAGCTATTTTTTCCTCAGGCCATCCAAGTACCGAATGCCCTACAATTTACTCTAGTTGTGTTTGTTTTATGGGTAGGCAAACAAACAAACATAACACGTTAAAAAAGCACAAAAATAAGTATCTATGCACCACAAAGCATTTGTGCTCAGGGCACCCAAAAGACTAGCACCGTCCCTAGTTACAACCTATAGCTAAACACCATGTGACTGATTAAACGCTGAAGATAATATAAAATCATTTCAAATTCAAATATTTGCAGCTGGCAGATTTGTCACATTCTGAAAATTCGAGACCTCTAATTGCTAAAATCTCACTTCCTGTCACATTTGTTAGGTGGTGCTTTGCAAAAGCCACGAAATGTGTGCAAGAATACGTCAATTTACCGAAAAAGTACACTTAGGAGCATTACTGAACTTTTAAATACTCACGTTTGTAATCGAGAACCAACTAAATTAACATTAACTGGTTTTAGCTTTAACGCTACGAACAGACCATTCACCAGCAAGTCGAAGACCTTCATAACATAATTTTAAAACAAGTCGCAACACCAAATATCTACAACCTGAAGCCGTTCTGAACAGCTTGCCGAAAAACACGAGACCCTCGTGCGCCATTTTTTCCCCAGAAACCCGACCCGGAGGAAAGAAAACTTTTACATTACTAATCCCCAGTTCGGTTTCGCGGGTTTGAATGTTTCAAGATAAATATCAGTCGGTAATTCAAAACTAACCTTCAATGAGTCAACGGAGATAATGCGCTGGCCACATTTTCGTCTGGGCCTACCAGAAAGTCACTCAACATGGCGGTAACCAACGCAGATAAGATACGCAATGAAACGTTTAAATTGACATAAGGCAACGTAGAATACAGACGAAACAAACGTACTTGGAACCAGATGGATGTGAGAATTGATCCAGCCAGGAGTTATAATATCGATACAAAACGTAATCCAACAGAACAGTACATCACAGCAGCTATTTTTCCCGCCGTGCTTTACAATGAAAGAAACTGTAGGTGTTGTGCCGCTATGGGTTTCCCCGTTACCATTTGTTTAACATTCACGTACGACAGGAAGCGTTACCCCTGCTGAAGAGTAAAACATCAGTAAAACAAGAACATCTCAATGCGTTGTAGTAAGTAAATAAGCACATTTTATTTATAAAGTGACCGCCAAATATGTGCAATCACAAAGCGCTGTACAACACAGATAAAAAGAATAACTAAAACAGTAAAACGTATTGTATTTCAAAAATGTATAACTTTTTCTTCATAACATAAGAATGAGTAATATTTTAATGGTAATTTTTCATTTAAAATAACAAAATGTTGTAACGTTGTTGTTTTTTATTTTTATTTTTTTCAAACCCCAAAAATGACTTTTGTTCAGGCAGTAACGGGGCAGAGATTGAACGGAAGTAGATTTGACCGGGGAACAAATCTCAACACAGCCGTTACTACAGCGGAAATGATGAATGTGCTGCATTCAATGTACCTCAAAAGTCACGACTTCTTTATTCCAGACTCGAAGTCCAATTCACTGAAGTAGAAAAACATTGTACTGATACAATAACATGAAATTAACACAATATGACACACTAAAGCACCAGAGACAAATAATCATGAAAAACTTTCAATTCAATTCAAGTTTATTTATATAGCACTCAAGGCACTTCACATAGTAAACATTCCAATACAGGTCAGTTCATTAAGCCAATCGGAAAAAAGTTTCCTATATAAGGAACCCAGGAGATCAAACAATACTAGAACAGACACAAACATAAACATTAACAAGAGACAGTAATAACAGTAGTGTGAAAATAAAATATAAATTATTGTAACTCCCTGTAATCAAAAAAAGAAAAAGACTGTTATACCAGTGTTTCCACATCTTTGACTGGTAACTGGCACTGACATTTACTTGGGCTCCAGATGGTTAAGAAGAAGACGATCTTTTATATAGTTCTTCTCAAGATAAAAATCACAATGCACTTAAGACTTTAAAGAGACAATGTGTAGTTTTTACCATTCATTTCTGGAAATATCCATCAAAATGTTGTTGAAAATTAATTAAATTATGCCCAGTTGTTGAAAATTATTCATGGCTTCATAACATGTAACCATACAAATCTGGTATAAAATACATGGGAACGGGTCTAAGGGTGTTTCTCAAAGCCAAGGAACCTCGCCTTGATGTCTTGGCCCCGCCCTGGTTGCCTAGGAGATACGTCATCAGGAATCACCAAGGCGTATTCCAATGTTCATGTTTTACCGAGGCGTCTGTTCTCCGTTAGTCAGCCATTTAGCTAGTAAGGATACACGGGAGGTGTCTTGTAGCCTAGCCTTGGTCAAAAATTTCCCAGAATATGTAGTGAGATTGGGAGGTTAAATTATGACCAGTAAGATGGGATGATTCTATATAAATATAGAATATCAACCTGATTGATCTTTGAATGTTTAACCAGAAAAATTTAGGATTCTTTGCTTATTCATGGATCATAACACACTTCGTATTAATTCAGACAGAGTCAAGTATATAATTAAAATAAACTTTATTTTCTAGACTAATTATAATACATGACAAGCTATGAATAAGGATGTGTGATGGAATGTGATGTGTGGAGTAGATGTATATCAGAACCTTTGTATCTGGAAGAAACTATGAGTCTGGGTGTAAAAGAATTTATGTTTATGTTTATTTACTTAGCAGACGCTTTTATCCAAAGCAACTTACAATTTATAACCTGTAGGGCATGTTGTGAACTGTGGGGGAAACCGGAGTACCCGGAGGAAACCCACGCATGCATGGGGAGAACACGCAACTCCACGCAGAAAGGTCACAGCCGAGTTTCGAACCTGCGACTTCCGTGCTGCGAGGCAACAGTGCTAACCACTGTGCCACCATGCAGCCTAGAATTTGATCTGCTATAAAGAGTTGATGATTTATAGAACGACATCAGACACCAGAATGCAGGTCTATGATACACTTGTATGAGTTGCTCCCGGCGGTCCGGAGGTTTGTGGTCAGAGTGGCGAGGTCACCGGACGTCAAGACCACGATCCTCAGGGATTAGTAGCATCCTCTGAGTTAAACCGCAACCCAGGGTCTGCGGATTAGGCGTCCAAGAGGATGTCTGAGAGTTGCAGTAGCTCTGGAACGAGCTGTTGTCTGTAATCACTTGCAGCTTTGTGGCAAGGTTTTGACTTAAGGTCAAAGGAGGTTGTTTCAAAAAGGCTTCTTTCCCGATTTGGCCGAATCGAGGTGTCAGCTAGAAAATGAGTTAATCGGGAAGTAAATTCTGTTTTATTACCACCATGTTATGATTCTGGCTAATCAGAATCTGACATGTTTGTCGGCGTTACCAAACATCCCTCAGAACCACACTTTCATCAGATACAAGAATGTTCTAGTTCTGTGGATAAAGAATCTTTATGTGCAGTGACGTCAACTTTAACCTTGTGTCATATGTGTATGAGAGTATGGTTGATTAACTTGTCACGTCAAGTACACCGATAATAAGATAAATGGATCATTTGCAAGATCAACATTCATTTCAGCTTAATAGATTTAGCACAGATTATTCAAATATTTCATTTAACCATATTGTTCATTCTTCATAATTTTAACAGTTCACTTTTATTCTGTGAGAAATCCAGCAGTCTGAGATCAGGGAAAAGCTATTGTCCAAAGACCTTGGGGAAGAACACTTTGTTGACAGTCTCGTGTCCTGGAATGTCAACAAGCACTGTAGAATCTTTCTTGATTCAGAAGATTATAAAACACACAGAAGTAGATTTATTCCTGTGGATTAAAGAGTCACCATGTAGGTCAAAATATAGATGAAAATTGCCCCTTTCTGGATGTTACAAATACACCGCAGTATTTTCAAAAGGATGGTGGATCAGAAGCCGGCAGGTACTATGGGGGCAAATTTCAAGTTTGAATGTAAGTCAACTAAATGTAGCTATCGGGTTGATATCTGAAATGCTTTTGTTTATATCTGACGCAGTTGTGTGTGGTTGGTTAGTTGCTTAGTAGTTGCAGCTTCGGTGGCTAGCAGGTAGTAACTCACTTATATTTTTATTTAACAAATATATACACAATTTAAAAAGTAAAACCTCGTTATATATTTATATTGAAACTTATACGTATAAAATATAACATTGTCTCCCGTGCCACGTGATGTTACGTGACCACACTGGAAGTCACGTGATGCAAGTCTGTTCCATTTCACTGTTTTCTTTGACCAAGGAAGGACAGTGTCCTCGTCATCAAGTTGCCTGGCCTTGCAAGGCCAGGTGCCTTGACATTGAGAAACACCGTAAGTCTCTGGGCAACGCCATATTAGATGCCATGAATCCTTCTACGGGAGTCTATGAGGACAAAATGCATTTACTGATTTGTAACAAACGGTTACAAAATTTTTGTCATTCTTAAATTTTGTTGTTTTACACATTTATACCTCTTCACTTGTTGCCAGCAATGAAAGGGAGTCTGATGTGCTCGTTATTTTGCTAAAGTTTGCACTCCCCAGGGCTTTCTGACCCTAATGGGCATCCGTTGGTGAGGTCTTACTCCAACACAAAAATACTGCTTGCTTGCAACGATTTAGGTATCTACTGTCTCCTATCACCAGGAAAAAAACCAAATGTCACTTTAGATTGTAATTCGGGTTAAAGACATAGACAGGTTATAGTATGACCTGCAATAAAAATAGATTAAATTTTGGAAGCAACTTTACAAAAAGTGTCAAATAAAGAGCTGTGTCACCCATGCAATTGTGTATGTGCTGCCTTAACATGAGGATTACCCAGAGACTGTAGAAAGACGATTACCTCACTGTAAGGATTAAATATATATTCATCAATGCCCCATATAAAACTTTTAAGTCCAATTTATAACACACCAGAAAGAAAACATTCCCACTAAAGCAGTTGCGGCTCGTCCATAGGGGGCGCTAGGGCACCACCGTACCACAGGAAGAAAAAGAAGAACATAGTAATCGCAAAATCCATCCATCCATCCATCCATTGTCTGAACCCCCTTGTCCATGTAGGGTCGCGGGGGGGCTGGTGCCTATCTCCAGCGGTCAATGGGCTGTCAGGTGGGGTACACCCTGGACAGAGAGCCAGTCCATCGCAGGGCATAATCACAAAATATTAAAAACAAAACATTGAAAATTAAACTAAACAATCTCTACATCATACAGACCATAAGTAATGTGTATAATGTGGATTCAAGTGTAGTTTTAAAATGTTATTTACACTTTTTCAAATAAACTTTATTGAACAAGTGTAAAGACAGATTAAAAATACAAGAACAAAAGAGTGCCAGGGGGTTTGAACATATCAAATACATTATTGAAGTAACAAAAATATGAAAAACAATATTATTTTAATTCAAAGACATTAGCTGACATACAAATTTCAAAAGTGCTAACTGCTTTTGCACTTTTTGACTTGCATTTATTTTTGTGTTCCTCCGGGGACCCAAGGTCTGAAATCTATCTCAAAGGCACTGCCTGATGAAAAAGGTAAGCACAACTAGCAAAAAGTTAGAAAAAAACAATCATGCTTGTTTTTATTTCTGTTTTGAAATTCATGATAAGGAATATCTAAAGAAAATCTAACTAGATTTCATTTATTAATAAAAAAAAATTTCTATTAAACACAGAGTCTGACTTCTGACCTAATTTTTATGTTGGGGAGAAAATGTGTTTTATTTTCTCTCTCTCTGTGTGTGTGTGTGTGTGTGTGTGTGTGTGTGTGTGTGTGTGTGTGTGTGTGTGTGTGTGTGTGTGTGTGTGTGTGTGTGTGTGTGTGTGTGTGTGTGTGTGTGTGTGTGTGTGTGTGTGTGTGTGTTGTGCTGTGCTGTTTCTGGGAAGGTGGTACTAAACAGTGTGTGTGTGTTGCCAAGTCCAAAGTACAAACATTTATTTGAGATTTTTATTCCAACTACTTCCTTCATGATAAATCAGTGCAGCGTTTCTTTGTTCTCTCACATGCTGCAGGTCTGAAGTCGACTGAACACGGCCCAAAAAGCTTTTTACGGGCTTGTAACAACCGTGGATTCATTTAGTCCAGTCCAGCCCTGCTCACAAGAAGGCACAGAAAGAGGAAACCTGCTGAACTGAACGATGTCTGCACACCCGAGAGTTGTCCACAACAGGAGACAGACCATCACAGCCCTGCCTCTGTATTACTCAGGACACCTGCTGAAGAAAAGCACCGGAGAGAAGGTATGAGTTACATCCTTCAGACTTTATGAAGTTAAATGATTTTCTATAAATGTACAAACACATTAGTAACATCTAAATAGATTAGTGTCAAGAAGAATAAGCTGCAGGTGTTTTAACCTCAACAATCTGCAATAATTTGTCAAATACATATAAAATATGGAGTTTTAGACAAACTTCAATTCGTATCAGTTTATTTGAAATTAGAATTTCAGTCAAACATGTTTAAAGTTGTTGTTTGTCCCAGGATAATGATTTACTACACAACACTGGTGGTGAACGCTCTACCCACATCCATGTTTAGAGTAATACTGATGACTTTCAGGACTTTAAGAGTTACTACGGAGAGCTGAGAGGAGAGTCGCTGTTCCTGTACAAGGATGACACACAGGACACGGTGAGGAAATGCATGGAAGATTATTAAAACTATGCTCATTGATATAGGATGCTGAGTCAAGTGAACCCAGCAGAAGAGCAATAAGGAAGCAGAGTCCTGCTGATGTGTCTGATTATTGTTTTGTTGTTGTTTTAGTACTCAGAGAGGCTGGAACTGGCGCAGCTAAAGTCCATGGAGTTAGACTCTCCTTATCAGAAGAAAATGCCGACAATTTTCACCTTGAATCTGCCTACAGAGGAGGTGCACCTAAAGGTCTGTCACGGCAATAAGCCAATTTCTGTCTTATGTGATTTTTAAATAATTGGATTTTATAGAATTTTAGTCATTTTGTTGTCATTTAGCATCTTTTCTGAGTGTTTGTGTGTTTTTCTTACCTTGCAGATGGACAATGCTGACACAGGAGAGGAATGGAGGGGTTACATCCTGACTGTGGTTAACGTGAGTAAACAAACCAAACTGTCATAGACACACAGACAGATTAACGCCACACTCTGTGTCACAAAATCTCAGCAAAGTCACCTTTAGTCTGAACACCTGAGTTCAGATGGCCTGACATTCCTGCAGGGAACACATCTCCCACAATAACAATCATTAATGTGATCCAGTAACCCGCTCTGCTGTTTCGTTATATTGCAAAGATAAAAAATAAACTAAAGTTTCCTGGTAAATATTTAAACACATAATGACTTGTGGTGTTTTCTTAGGGAAAAGCTCCAACATGAAGCTGAAAACTGTGATTACAGGAGAGTTTTTTTCACCAGCTCACACATTTAAGCACATTTTTGTGCTTTGCAGACTGGTCAGGTATTTTTGATCAATGTGCCAAAATAACTTGTCAGAATACCTTAAAGATTATAGTTTAGCAGGAAACTTTTGTAATTTATCTAAACAAGCTACAAAACTAATAAATAATCTTTCTCAGCAACACATGATTCATTTTTCTATTAGTTGCAGGCATCTTATGACTCGTGTCTCCCTGCAGAGAGAGATTCCTGCAAAGCTGCAGTTGCTACCAGGTCAGATGATAAAACTGGGGGAGGTTCTGGTTCAGGAGAACTGTAGGAACCCCAAACTGACACGCCCACCCCTCCCACCTCGACCCATGCACTTGAAGCCTCAAAGCTCTCAAATGCCGTCGTAGGTTAAACCTTCATCTGTACATCAAAACAAGGAGAAACCCTCACAATCAGAGGGAATTTCAGGCTCTTTCTTTTGAATCCTGCAGCTGTTTCCTGGATGTGACTCGACAGGAAGCAGAGAAGATGCTGGAGGCCAACCTGGAGAATGGGAGCATCATCCTCCGCCCGTCCGCCATGCCCAAGAACTATGCCCTGACCCTGAGGCAGAAGACGTCCAGGTCTGATCATCTATCCAAAACTTCAAACTGAAAGTTTAATACTTGGAATGTTGAGCACCAGAAAAAAGGCACACACTTTTATTTTAGTGGTTTGAGTTTGAACTGATGGTCGTTGTGTGCTAGGGGACCTGTCCTGAAGAACTACAGAGTGACCTCCACAAAGTCTGGGTTTGTGATCGAGCTTGAGACTCCGGTAAGTTCAAAAGGACGTCAATGTTTAGAGTTTTAGACGGAAAACACGGTGGCAGCCAAAAGAGACTACAGCAAAAAGTTGACATGGCAGCTGTAAAACTAAAACAAAGAGAACCACAAGAGCACAGAGTTACGGGGAGATCAGGAGTGAGGTCTGACAGGAGAACAAAGATGAACACAAGGAGGAGGTTTACTGAGTGATAGGAAACAGGTGAGACTCAATAAAAAAACACAAAATGTAGGATCAAAATCCCAATATTATTAATACATTAGTTTGAGTTAGTCACATCTACAGTGGTGGGAAAGGGTTGCTTGTTTAACAGCTCGTATGACTCTTGCAGATGTTAAACTGTGTTTTCAACATAAATGTAACAAAAGCTGCTGAGTAAAAGAGAACAGAGCGGATCATTTCATCTCCGATGTTAACTGGACTGAAAGCTTACAGAAAAGTTAAAGATGTGGAACACTGAAAAATCATTTTTTAAATCTCATTTCTGATTATAATCAGTCACTGAGTGTTTCATACAGGCTGAACTTAACAATAGTCTTCCACACCTATTTCCTGCATTAGCTTCTGATAGAAAACAGACGGTGAAACTCTAGGATTTAAAAAGCCTGACAGATCTACGTCACACTGTGAATTAACATTAATAGAGAACCTAAGTCTAAATCCGGTCGGCTCATGGGACTCTGGAAGAACGAAAATATGAATGCGAGTCAACGGGACTAAAAGGGCTTTTTACTAATCCTCTTTGCCTTACGCCCTGGATCGCACATACGTTGTGCTTCAATTTAAGTGAAAACTAATCATGGCTGTTTCGACCACGCCAGTCACGTACTTTGAGATTGATCAGCTCGTAAACGTTCGTAATTAGCATGACTACAAATCAGACATCAGTACATTGCAAATATGACGATCACCACACAATCTCCTCTCCCCTAGCTTAGCTGCTACTTACTAAATAGCCAGATTTAAGGTGTTTTTTTTCCCTCCGGAAGGAAGGATTTTGAAGTTAGTTGAACTTAGACGTTCGAGGACGTCATTGTCTCTCTCTTTTTTTCTCCATGTCTGGTTCGAGGACGTCACTTTCTTGAAGCACATTTGTAGTCCTGGACTTATTTTCGCACAAAACCTAAAGTAACGTTTCCCCCATTCAAAAATAAGCACTTTCTTGGTATCTAATTGCGTCTTTAAAATTCACAGACATCATATGTGAAAACCATGGCACATAAGCGGAATTAGAAAATTGCATTTTCAGCCCCTTTGACTTGCATTCATAATTTTGTTCTTCCGGGGATCCATGTAGACCCAGTAGATGGGCGTGACTTGGGCTCCCAGTTGACTCACGATGGGGAAGGCTGTTGGTTTAACGTCCAGGAAACAGCAGAGAATGTAGCTAGTAGAAGCTAACTGTTGGCATGAGCAACTCAACCACATGGCAGAACTCCTCCAAGCTTGTGTTATTAACAGAGATAAAACATCAGTGTTGTAAGTCAGTGGTAGAGTCACATTGCTGTCAGCCATTTTGAGGTGAGATGTCCAAATATCAGGAAATACGACTCCAAAACCTGTCGTCTGAAGCTCAGCTGTGATATTGGTCACTGCTAGTTCCTACTTGGAGCTCCACAGGGTACGGTGCTCTCACCCTTTCTCTTCACCTTCTACACCTTGGTCTTCACCTGCAACACCAGCAGCTGTCACCTCCAGAATTTCTCTGATCATTCCCCTCAGACACACAGCCATTGTTGGCTGTGTGTCTGAGGGGAATGATCTGGAGTACAGTTCAGTTGGACTTCGTGGACTGGTGTGAGCATAACCACCTTCGCTTGAACACCAGTAAGACAGAGGAAATGGCGATTGACTTCCAGAGAAACACTCTTCCTCACCAGTAAACATCCAAGGTGCAGACACTGAGGTGGTGGATACCTTTAAGTACCTGGGTGTTCACCTCAACAGCAAATTGAACTGGTCCAACAACACAGATGCTCTGTATAAGAAGGGCCAAAGCCGCCTCCACCTTCTGAGGATGTTGAGGTTTTTCAGAGTTAATTCCCAGCTGCTGAAATCCTTTTATCACTCTGTTGTGGTCTGTTGGGGCGCATGCAGCTCTGACTGAAACAGCAAGACTGAACAAGCTAGTTCACAAAGCTAGCTCGGTTCTGGACTGCCCACTGGATTCAGCTGAGGAGACGTGTGAAAGGAGGATGCTGAGGAAAGTGACCTTCATCTTAAAAATCCCCTCCCACCCACTGCATTCCACTGTGGAGACCATGGACAGCTCCTTCAGATGCCGACTGAGACATCCCAGATGTAAAACAGAATGCTACCGTAGACCTTTCATCCCCTCTGCAGTAAGAGTGTATAACTCCTCAGTTTAAGCTGTACTGGTATTATCCTGGTACACAATAACACCAATGCAATATCTATTGTGTGTTCAATACTCGTTCAATACCGGATTTACATAGTATGTCTGGATAGTTATAGAAACTAAGTTTTCTGTTATTTTTATTCGTGGCCTTTAGTGGTCGAAGGTTACAATTTTAGACTACTGCCTATGTGTATATACATGTACTTTGTTATTATTTTTTCTTCAAATTATTCTCTTATGTGTTGGTGCTGCTGTAACAAGCAAATTTCCCCAGGAATAGAATAAAGTCTATTCTATTCCTGGAAATGGTCACTGGTGTTTTCCCCCCAAATATGACATACAAGACATTCATTCCTACTAGTGACTACTGCAAATGTGTTAAATGAGTGAACCACTCCTTTAAAAAAAAACACCTGAATAGAGTTCTGTGGCTTATTGAGCTTTGTAATCATTAAACACTTAATGATACATGGAGCTCCTTTCACTACTGGTTAAACATCACATTTCTGCTGAAAATGTCAGAGTGAAAACTGTGTCGAGTAAATATTCCTACTTCCTGTAAAGAGAGACTTCTGTTTTTAAACATATGTGCAGTGAATGTTTTTGTTTTAGAGTTATGGCTTTTAAAACAAATCTCAGATTTAAATGTTACTGTGATCGGTTTTATGGTGATGATCATTGTTATCACCATAAAATGTAGCCGTGGCTTCTCTCTGACAACAACAGGACCCAATTCCATATAATATTGCCGCTTTACAATTTAAGATGGAGGCTGATCATTTTTAATCCAAGGAATTCAGACCAACATTTGTTGGGTCACAAACCAGTTTAGATGATCAGAATGGTAGATAAGGACAAAATACAGATTCTTCAGATTTGTCCTTTTTCAGAGCTGTGACATTAGATATTAATACACACTATTAAAGACAACTTTATATTATATGAAAACAAAGTGTGTTCTGATCTTCAGGTGACCGTGCCGTCTCTGAACGATGTGCTGAAGTTCTTCCTGGAGAAGACAGAGTACCGTCTGTGTCCTTATGTGGATTCTCAGCCCTACGACACTCATATCTGTGAGTCTGGACACACAGCTGCTCTAGAGATGATCAGCTTCAGCTGCTGACCGGTGTTTCTGATCCACAGTACCGTCCTCTGCTCCAGAGTGTGTCAGCATCCCCTCTCCATCATCCATAGCGCCACCCAAAGCACAAGTAGCACCGCTGCTGCGTTCACAGACCAAAGAGAAGCTCCCTCCGCCTCCGCACAAACCTGATGAAGGAGAGTACGTGGTGCCAGATGATTCTCTTGATCACAACAGGAAGTTAGGTGAGTGTCCCTTCATGGTTTGTATGATGAAGCCAGCTTTAATGAATACATTTGTTAAAAAATAATTTGTTTTTGTTCAAACAAGCTCAGCTGGGTAATGAGCTTCGAAAGGCTTTAAAGACGAGGAGAGAAAATATCTACAGCGAATCTGGACAAGATGAAGCTGATGCTTATGAGAATGAGGCTGATCGGAGGGCCAGCTGGACGGTGCAGTGCGGCGGTCCAAAGGCATAAGTCTCATCTTTCTCTGTGAATCTGACTGAGCTCAGCCTCCACAGGCGTTACTGCTGAGGAGCTTCAATGGTGCTGTGAGGTCAAAGGTCAGGGATGAAGGAAATTCTAGCAGATCATTCAATGGCCCTAAAAGTCTCTGTGTGTGTAATCTAAAGACGTCTGCTGTTAAAGCAGAGAGAAAAATACACTAAACTTGGTTAATTTAAGGACATTTTGAGGATTCGTTCAGGAACATCCTCTGTTCTCATGTTGGTGTAGATTCTTAGATTCTGGTTTTTACTTTCACTAGTTGCTTAAGAGAGGGTATATTCAACGTTAATAATTAAAAAACCTAAACTTTTCCAATACATCGTGAAAAACTTTAAACTGAAGATGACCACTTCCTTTCATTACATCTTTGTTTTCCTGCTCTGGATCTTTGTTTCATGCTTTTATTTTGTTTCTTTGAGATTTTTAAACATTTTAATGCTGCTGATTATATTCATGCTCATGTAAAGAGTTGTAGAATATGTTTTATGATGGCAGAAACACTAGTCTTAACTCATTCACTGCCAGCCATTTCCTGATCAGAAAAGCTTTTCGCTGCCCGCGTTTTTCAGTTTTCACTGTTTTTTAAGGAGACAGTTAACGTTCCGCACTAGGATGATGTCATTGTCAAAACTACCAAAACAAAGAGTAGACTCACCTCTTACATCAGGAAGAATCCGCGCATTTAATCTGTTCTTTCATAATTTGTTGTCGAATTGTAATCGGCAGAAGCTTTCCTGGTTCGTGCCTCACTTTTTTTACAGCAGCGGCCCAAAACGATCTCCTAACACATGGATTTTCTGCTTCCTGATCACGTGACGTGTGATGTATGGGGATGAAGATCGGCTTTAGAGCTAAGATGTTTGTTCTCACAATGTGGGGGCCCGTTCCGACGCCCACACAGTAAAAAAAATGCTAATGACATATTCAGTCGTCATTGGCAGTGAACATTTGGATTTAAAATGACGACTTTTCTCGTCAATGGCAGTTAATGAGTTAACTGTGGTCAGACTAGCCGTTAGCTTATTAGCATTGAAGGATGTTTCTCTAAACTGAGGCCATTCAGAAATGATGGGTAAGATATTATAACTGTCACACAAAAATCCTCACATTAAAAAAAAGATCATTTGTCAAAATCAGTTTTCACTTAAACAACTAAATCATTCAGATTTTCTGTTTAACTTTTAGCTGAATATTTGTGTTTTCATCTGTTTATTCCCGAAACTACATAACAAACAAAAAGCTTTAAAGGGGCATTATGGAAGTTTGACAGCCAAAACATGTATAGAAATAATAAATTTCTTCTTCATACATTCTCCTGCAATGCCCTGGTCCTGTAGAATGAGCCCTGGCATTTTTACTGTGATTGCCTGTTTTTCTGTAAAATCACAGAAAAAGAGTTGCTCGGGTCTAGCAGGCTGCTTCATGCGCGTCACGCTCAGGCATCGCCCGTAGCATTTGCTATCAGTAGCTTAAGCAGCAGAGAGAGAGGCAGTGCCAACTCTGCGACTTTGTCGCTGTTCCTCACGTCTAGTGATGAACCTAGCTACATTTCTGAGGACCCTTAGCTACTTTCTTCTTGATGTTTCCTGCAAATTAGCAACAAAATAGCCATTTTTGCTCCGAACCGTTCTTTGAACGTTGTTTCAGCTGTCATCAAGGATATAAATATTACAGATACCAAAAACATCACTGGTACTTTTGCTCATCTAGTTAGACATTGGACTATCGTGCAGGAGACCCGGGTTCGATTCTGGGTGAGAACACAGTTTATTTAGAGTTTATTTATTACATTAATGGTATATTTTTTACAGTAAGATGCCCAAATTTTTATTTGAGACTCGCCGAACGGCATTGAATTCACAGATAAAAAAGATGTGGGTTCAACTTTCATTTTGGAACAATTTTTCAAGCAAGGGAAGGGAATGATCTGAGCATGCAGGAAGACTGAAGAGAAAAGGTACAGAACCAAATTATTTAATTAACTAGCTGCGCGTTCTGCTGCCCTGTCCTCCAGGGATGGGGGTCAGCTTCACAGAGCTTCGTCTCAGCTGTTATTTTCGTTAAGGAGTGTGCATGTACAGCATGCACGCCTCGTGCATGAGCCTCCTATTGAAGCTGCCGTTACGCTTTTGGCCAGAGGGGGTAATCGCGAGCATACAAATTCAAAACTCCATAAAGTCCCTTTAATCTTTTAAAACATGCCTAGATTAGCCACAGAACAAAACAATAATCCAGGATGATTGTGATTATTTTTATTTTTTCACATCTAAGGAGTAAGCAAACATAAATGTTATAATCATGTTTTATAAGTTATTCTAAGTTTTGTGTTTTATTACTTTCTTCACTGTGGTAGAAGTTCAAGAATCGTTCATCACTCAAAGACAGCAAGACTGTGAAAAATATTCAATAAAAAAGAAAAACAAAGACTCCCTTTTGTCTCCTCCTTTAGTGGAAAGTATTTCACCCATTTCACATTTCTTTCATCGGTGGTAGCAGCCTACATGTGAGAAACACATAAAATATCTGTAATAGCAATAATAATAATAATAATTTAAAGTTTAGGATTTCAAAATGAAACAGAATAAATTAAGGTGATTGTTCCTGGGTGTGGATCTGCTGCCGTTTACGTTACTTCTCAGTGAGAGAAAGCTGCAGGATCCGCTCCAGCTCCTCCTCTTCCTCCTGCTGCTTCCTTTGAACAAAATAAATAAACAAAACAGTGGTTACATTTTTCCCAGGGTGCAATGTTGATGCCAGACAAGACCTCTGAAAACAGGTCAACGGACACCAAAATAAACCTGCAGAATCCAGATGTTCCACCAGACTGGTGTGAGACAGATGTTTGATCACATGACTACAACTCGTTGGGTTTGCTTTGGACTTAAAGCTAAAAACAAATTAATGCTGCTTCCCAAACATTAAATATACCCAAACTCTAAAAAGAAAAAAAAATCTAATAAATGTTCTTTTACCTTTTCAAAAATCATCATGTTGAAGATTTCTTTAAATCAATAAAACAAGAAAGAATAAAAAGGAGAAACTGTAAGAATGTTTTTTCTAAACTAAATTATTAAAATGGTCTTTTTTAAGTCCAAAAAGATAATGGATATTTATTCTTAGAAAATTGGTTAAACACTTAAAAATAAAGTTAAGTACAAAGGAACAGATCATTATGTGTTGGAACCACTAATACGTAAAAATGCACTTAGATGTGATTTGCTAAAAATACAAACCAGAACAAAGTACTTGGACATACTTACTGTTTACTACATCTCAAGTGTATACAACTTAGAAATACTAGTTCAGCGAGTAAATTCCCAAGTACCATGTACTGGTTTGTCTTAGTGGCTCCAACACAAAATGACCTAATGCTGTGTATTTATTAATTTAAGTGCAAGCGGTTGTATGTATTTTTTTTTCCCAAATAAGGTTAACTAATCAGATTTTACAGTGTACTTTTAAAGTCTTTCAAGCACTCCCTTCAAAATTCAAAATCAAGCCCTTTTCCCATAACTCAACATTAAAGATTTTTGTGACACTTCAACACAAAAAGGCACTAGTTAAAGACTTTAACTGCTTGGTTTGGTGGGGAAAAATCCTAAAACTACATTTTCAGGCACACAGATAAGAGGAATATTTATGGTTAGTTTTTTTTATTTATTATTAAAGCCCCACTTAAAATGTCTTCAACCACTTGAAATGCTGCTACTAACATATCTACCAAAATGTTATTTTAAAAACTATCATCATCATCATCATCATCAGAAAAAACTCAACTCCTTTTCGCTCTGGAGACCTAGCTTCTGCCTCCTCACCTGTCGTTCTCCTCCTGCTCCCTGCATGACAGCTCCATGGCGATTCGCAGCTGCTCGTCGAAGCTGCTCGCCACACCAAAGTTCCCGGACAGCCGCGGGTCGTTCCCACTGCTGACAGAGAGCGGGGAATTCGTGGAGGGGTCAGGCGGGGACACGGAGGAGGGCTGACTGGGGTCGCTCAGGTCCTCTCCCTCTCTGCTGGCTAGAGAGATGGACAGTGACTCCTGGATGGCCCTGAGACGGGACAAAGAAAGAGGACGTGTTTTTATTAAACAGAGGAGTTTCTCAGTCACTTTAAAAAGAGATCTTCATCATAGTTTAATTAACAGCTGAATGGGAGCTACTGCTCTCTAGAGAAGACCGAGAGAAGATGCTAATTACTGAACTCTGAAGATCTAATTAATGAATTTATACCTGGAGGAGAGGAAAGAATGACGATCAGTTCAACTTTAAGAGGTTTTTATGGGTAAATTGTTAATCTATAAAAAATTAGCAACTCTAATTTATGACTCATTTCACCTAGAGATGTGAAACATCTGTTAACCAGCGCAGGTTTGCGCAGTGCTGTTTAAACTTATCTGAAATGTATCATCACAGGTAGGATCTGATCACCTCTCCAGCTGAGAGTCCTCCTCGTACAGCGGAGACGGCGGCACTGGGCGGCTGTTGGTCAGCGCCTCCCAGATGGTCACCTGAGAATCCAAAACAGCTGTCAACTGGATTTATGTGTAGGAAAACCCTTTTACAGTAAAACACAAACAAAAATGGCAGACCCTTCAGCAGTGAGTGAGGTCTGTGCTGGAGAAAACAAATGCAATACTAGAAGTGCACGTGAAGCGTGTCCAGAAACAAAACTTCACTAGGAGGAGAAATTTGTACAATTAGCACAAAACACACCTTTATAACAGTTGCTGTGTCCCTTTTCAGAACATCTATGGAAATTGTGACTTTTGGAAAAACACCCATCAAAAAAGTGGCAATAAAAACTTAAGACCACAAAAAGACATTCTGAGGATAATTCTGTTGAAAGATTTAAGTCTTCCACAAATTGGACAAATAAAGTCAAATGTTCTAATAGGGAGCCTAAGTCACGCCCGTCTACCCCCGGACCAGGGGAAGGGAAAAGCGACAAAATGAAAGCAAGTCAATGGGGCTAAAAGAGTGGGTTGTCCAGTAATTGGAAGGTTGTGTCCTTGGGCAAGGCACCTAACCCACCTTGGCTGCTGGTGGTGGTCGGAGGGACCGGTGGCGCCTGTGCTCGGCAGCCTCACCTCTGTCAGTGCGGCCCAGAGCAGCTGTGGCTACACTGTAGCTCATCATCACCAGCGTGTGAATGTGTGACCAGCTATGTTTACATGTGCCAAATTCCCCTATCCGATTCAAATCTTGGTTGATCGGAAATCCTAAAACTCTTCTTATATGGACGCTAACTGAAATGATCCGATCATGTCGTGAGTAAACACACACCAAGCATTCAGTCAGATTAAATAGGCTGAGCATGCGCAGAGTTGTATTTCCCAGAAAAATCATGTAAACAAACCCCCTTACATTTTATATTCTTTTTCTCTAACTTTGTCCGTTGATTCCCATTTTTCCCCGTTATCGACCTTCTTCACATTTGTACCTGTATGCTTCTGTTTTTACTGATCACTTTAACTAAGCTACAGGCTCAGCGGTTCGTAACGCTACTGCTCCTCCGCCACAGGAGAGGAGGATAACGCACTAATGATCACCCGCTCGCACCGTCCTCCAGCTCCTCAGACTTGTCCTGAGCATCTGCAAAGGCAGAAAGATGTCATGCTGAAGTGGTACACATGTGCAGTGGGCACTACATCCGTATCGGATCAGAATGTTGCGATTGACATGTTTACATGAAGAATTTTTGATGTGACAGGGCATTCATTATGACTACTTGTGCCCATGTAACCGTAGCTACTGATACACAGTAGTGTAAAGCGCTTTGGAGTTCTTTGACTCTGACAGGCGCTACACAAGTGCGAGTCGTTATTTTCTGATTCTGCTTGTTATGTGCCATGGGTTTCACATATGATGTCCCGCACGGCCTTGAGACGAGACAACGAAAGGGGACATCTTTATTGCCCTTCTGGGGACCCGTGAGCCGACCAGAAAGTGAGGGGACTTAAGCTCCCTATTTCTGGTTCTATACCAGCTCAGCTTCGCCACCTACTGGACTAGAGTGTGAATTACAGACTCACATTCCAAACTAGTGGAACAGACGACTAAAAAAGCCAACTTGTCTGAAAGCAATAACCAGTTTTATAGCAACAGCGTTGCGTATCATCACATTGTTCATGAAGTGAACAACACTCAAACCTAATCAATAATCTGATCTATGATTTGGCCAGCTAGCTGAGCGAGACTGGCCCAAATGGATCAACGGTATGGTTCTGACCTGGTCGCTCTCAGTGCCGGCGTCCAGCAGACTCTGCTGGATGGCAAACTGCAGCAGGTTGTCATCTTCGTCTCTCATGGGTTCGCTGCGGCCCGGCCCGAGGACAGTGTAGTCTGGGGGAGGCTCAAACACGGAGGGGTCGACCTCGCAGTGGAAGGCAGGCAGACACTGATCTAAAGGAGTTGCACAGAAACGATGCACTAAAGCCCCAGACCTCTGCTGTAAGGAGTTACCCGACACCCTGCAGTGTTGTAGAAAAAAAACGTTTTTGCTCGAGTCTAAAGTTACCAGCTTCGTCAGAGTTCTCAGGCTTGTGGACCGTCACGGTGCTGACCGGCTCATCGCAGCCACACAGGTTACTGAACGTCACCCTGGCATTCAGCACGTGAAACAGAGGGATCTCTGAGGAGCACAATAGAAGCTCAGTCAGACAGGAGGTGAGGGGCAGACAGATACTGACCCGTAAGAGAACTAAACCAGATGAATCGGCCACAGTTTGAAGAAAAAAATATCTCTTTGATGCTAAAAGTCAAGTCAGTCCCAGAACTGCTTTCACCTATCTTGACGGGGAAGCCCGGTGGCAGGCGCAGGGTGATGAAGTCACGCAGCTTGGCAAAGTGTGCGTTGGAGATGGCCATGAGGTCTATGATGGGGGTCACCTGCTCAGCCAGGGACAGGGGGTGTGTCTCGCTCAACCACAGCGTGGCTTTAAACCTACAACCCACAAAAGAAATCCATCAGGAGAAGAGGTTCAGCTCTGACATCGACCAAAAGGCTCCATCGTGTCATACCTCTGGATTTTGCTGGTGAGCTCGATGGGACGGCCGATGTCTCGCCCGTTCAGATTGAACTCTGGGTTGAAGTACTCATCAGCTGTGATGGCTGTGGGGTTATGAGGACTGGCACACTGGGACACGTTGCTCTGGCAGAGCGACGGTGAGTGTTCATTAGAGAAGTGGGAGGTATGGATGAATATGCAGCGTGGAGACTCTTACCCCGTTGTGAGCCGTATGTTGTTCAGCAATCCCCAGGAAAGACTGCAGAGGAGTCTTTGAGCCTGGGAATAAAGGAAGCTTAATTTATTTTAATTAATAAGGAATATTGAAGGACAGAGCACGTATCCTCTTGCGGGACAGAAATTTTTTATATTAGATATAAAATCAGACAGTCCTGTTCAAGCGCCTCGTGATTTTTATCTTGAGGCGCTATAGAAATGATATTTTCTTCTTCTCCTTTCTTCTTCAGATGCCATCAGTCTGAGTTGCTAGATGACCTAATAATAATAACAATAATCCTGTTTCACCTTTGCGTTTGGTTTTATTTAGCGAGAGCTGCATGATTTGCTAAAAATCTTCCTTATTGTTGCCAAATACCTGAATGTTTGTCTTTCAAAAGAACAACACAGTAGTGGTTAAAAGCGCTATATAAAACCTATGCATTATTATTATTATTATTAATTACTTGTTTCAAAAGTAGTGTAGACACACTGAGGGTCACTAGAGCAGTCTGAACACTGGCTTCTCTTCCATCGTCTGCAGAAAAGCTGCAACCTGACCAGGTGAGGTCATCTGTGAGCATAAACGCTCTCGTTTATGGAAATGAAGGTAGAGATTGTTCATGGGCATGACTAAGCTGTGCTTGTATCAAATTTAAGAATATGAACGACAAACTGTGGACGTGCATCAGTTTAAAACAAGACAAAACACAAGAAGCTTTGTGATGCATTCAGGAACACCTTGTAAACCTGGGAATTTAAAGGTGTGGTTGACTGAAATTTTTTTAATGATTATTTCTGATTATAATTGGTCACTGAGCTTTGTATGCAGGCTGAACATGAAAATGGTCTCCTACAAGTTTCTCCTGCGTGAGCTTGTGATAGAAAATAGACGGTCAAATGCTAGGATTTCAAAATCCTCACATATCTATGTCACAGTTTGAATTTGCATTCATGGCCTCATCCATCTTGTTTGCGGCCGCCTACAGGAAGGCGTTTATTTTTTTTAAATGTTAGCAGCAAAATGGGAGAGCAGAGAGTATCTTGGTGATAGTGACTTTGCAACATGGCTGAACGTGTAGCCAATCAGAAGCAAGGTATGTGCATATCATTGGTGCAACGGTTCACTGTGGGCGACGGTGGCACAGGAGTTAAGTGCTCGCCCCGTAATCGGAAGGTTGCAGGTTCGAGCCCCGCTCAGTCTGTCGCTGTCGTTGTGTCCCACATTGCCTGCTGGTGGTGGTCGGAGGGACCAGTGGCGCCAGAGCTCGGCAGCCTCGCCTCTGTCAGTGTGTCCCAGGGCAGCTGTGGCTACATTGTAGCTCATCCCCACCAGTGTGTGAATGTGTGTGTGAATGGGTGAATGACTGGTTGTGTTGTAAAGCGCCTTGGGGGGTTTCAGGACTCTAGAGGCGCTATATCAAATACAGGCCATTTTACCATTTATTCGAACCGTTTGGATTCGATCCACTTGCGTACCGTTTCGGTTTATGTGTTCCGTTAAATAATGAATTTTTCACACACTTGCGTGATTTCAGTGCAGCGGATTAAAGTTCCTTAGCGAATTCTGCACTGATGCTGTATTGAGTGATGCATGACGGCTGCACGCGCCCGAGCTCCGTAAAAAAAATGTGATCTGCTGATTCCGATCAACGTCTTTCAGAGCGGATCAAACCAGCTGACTATAGCTGTTACTGTGGAGTCTGTGTAGAGACTCTGAACAGAGCATCGTGTCGCCTCTCCCTCCCTTTTCTCACAGTGTGCAGGCACGCAGCGGCAAACATGTAAACAAACATGTCTGCTGAATGTTTTCGCTGTGACAACAAAAAACATGGCGCAGAGGACGCTCGTTATTTAATACGAGTTTTAAAGAAGAAACTCTGGGCGGTGTGAGGTGAGATTTAAGAAATAAAAACACGTCAAAACAACACTTGTCTGTATGAGTGTTCTACGCAAATCATAGACATGAATGCTTTGACGCCCCATTGGGTGGTGGAGTGTAACAGAGTCGCCGCCATATTGGATGGGTCTCCTCACTCTCCAAAGTCAATGCAGAGTGAGCAACTATGCCCGTTTCTGTGCAGCCTACAGTTACAACAACCCGCGTACAATTGAAAACCAATCACATGGGATTACCAGTGACTTTTCTAGTCTACCTGATAGGATTTTTAATTTAATATTTATTTTTATTTAATTATATATATTTTTCAATTATCATGCCATACCTTGTGTTTGATTTTGTGAAAAAACTTGATAAAATGTGTTTTTTTACTTGGGTAAGCACCTTCCTCAGTAGAAATTAATGCACTGGGGGTTAATCTATGTAAAATGGCGGTTAGCTATTACGGCATCGCCAATAGACAGCGCCAGTGCATGGGGTATCTACGTATATAGGTCTGTGGCGCAAATAATCGCGATTGTAAAATACTTTTAACGGTTTTTAACTGACTTAACGGTTTTGGGCTTTCTTATCTTTCAGAACTACTTATACCATATGAACCCAAGCGGTCTCTGCGCTCCTTTGGCAGCAGTCTCCTAGTCATCCCTAAAGTCAGGACACATATTCACGGCAAGTACTACGGTCCTCAGCTCTGGAACGAGCTGCCAGGGGACCTCAGGGCCGCAGAGAACGTTCATTTTTTTAGAAACAGGCTCAAGACCCATCTTTTTAGCTTAGCTTTTAACTGATTACTATCACTTTTAAAAAAAATTTATTCATTAATTAGGTTATTTGGGCTGTGCAGTGGTTAGAGCTGTTGTCTTGCAGCGAGAAGGTCCTGGGTTTGCTTCCCGGCCTGGGATCTTTCTGCATAGAGTTTGCATGTTCTCCCTGTGCGTGTGTGGGTTCTCTCCGGGTACTCCGGCTTCCTCCCACCGTCCAAAAACATGACTGTTAGTTTGATTGGTCTGTCTAAATGGTCCTTAGGTGTGAGTGTGCATGATTGTTTGTCCTGTGTGTCTCTGTGTTGCCCTGCGATGGACTGGCTCTGTCCAGGGTGTACACCGCCTGATTGCCCATTGACCACTGGAGATGGGCACCAGCCCCCCCCCCCCCCCCCCCCCCCGCGACCCCACGTGGACAAGCGGGTTCAGAAAATGGATGGCTGGATGGAATTAGATTATTTATCTATTTATTTTATGTATTATTTCATTGTACGTGCTTTTTAAACAGAGCTTTTTACCATAGATTTATGAACAACATTATTTTAATATCTATATAACTTTTTATATTACAATTCTCATTGTAGCTCTTATGATTTTATATTTTAACCTTAATTTAACCTTTTACCAGTGTTTCCTCTGCGGGTGCCCTCTGCCCCGGGGGCGGTGGTCGGCTGTGGCAGCCTGGATGCTTTCCAGGTGTGCCTGGGTGGAGGTGGGGGGTCTCCGCTCTCCCCGCCCTGAGTCGGTGCCTCTGCTGCTGCTGTGGATCTGCTGCTGTGGATCTGCTGCTGTCGGGGCGGATGGCTCCCCCTGATGGCGTTTCCTTGTCTTAGCTGGTTTGGCTCATCTGATCTCAGCCCATTGTGTTTTTTCCATTGGGGGGGCATGTGTGTGTGTGCGTGTGCAAGTGTGCAGAAGGATGAGTGTTGTGAAGGGGTTTTTATTGTCAGACTGTTTTTAAAATTCTGGGGATGGGAGGGAATGTGGGTATGTGGAGCCTTTTGAATTTGTTAAGCACTTTGAGTTGCATGTATTGCATGATTAAGTGCTATATAAATAACGTTTGATTGATTGATTGATTGATTGATTGATTGATTGATTGAAATAACCCGTGAAGTAATTAAAGACATCATGCTAGATCAGCAGCCTGTGATGACGCCTGGTTCTGCTCACTATAGGAGCTGCTTCAGATATTAAATAAAATAAATAAATATCATAATGTACCGAAAATGAATCAAACCGAGCCCTTCAAAACACTGAACCGAACCCAATACGAGTTTAGCATACCGTTACACCCCTAGTGCATATCATTAATAATAATAATGAGTAATCGCTGCACCAGCAAACTCCTGCATCTCAGAACAGCAGGATCATTGCTTTTCGTTTTTAAATAACTCATTAGGCACTGATTTACACCAGAGAACACAGCAAATGTATTGAATAAATGAGCCAACCACGCCTTTAAAAACAGTTTGTAAAAGTTTAAAAGTGAATAGTATGGAGACCTGAGCTATACATAATCATTTGTTTTCTTTTTCAATAATAATAATAATAATAATAATAATAGGTGAAAAGACACATTTTTATCATCAGTATAAAAAATTTGACATTTATGATACAAACATCTGTAGGCGGTTGTGGGTGTTTACCTTTGCTCCTGGACTTGTCCTGGTCTGATAGGTGCTCCGTTCTTGAACGAGTTACCAGCTCCACATTGGTAGCACTGTAAACCTACACACACACGCGCGCGCACACACACGCACACACAAAGCATTTATATGATGAGCATAAAAGGTTTGGTTTCAAACTAAATGAAACAAGTTCACACAAAAATGTTGAACCTTATTTTCACGTTTGGGCTAAACAAATCCAACCTGAGACAAACTAGTGGATCAAGCTGCAATCCTCCATTTCTGACATGTGAAAATGAGGGCAGCTGCTAGAGTCTGAGCAACCATGGAAACTCAACTCACTAAGATGATAACAATAATCACAAGATAAAACTCTGTTTTTGTACCATGTTGCCCTGCCCGCCTCATTAGGAAATGTGTCACACAGAAAAAAATGTACCAACCAGTTCTAGAGCGGCATCTGGTGGATCATTATTAAAGATATGTGGGAGGATGTTTCTGAATTTCAGGACAGAGCCACCCTCTCCATGTTTTAAAAAATGTGCATGAGAGACAACAGTCAGAACACCCAGTTTTGCTCATGCATGCTCTATTTACAAGTAGCTGCCGGCCTTGCAGCACACGCTCACTCAAGAAAAGAAGGTTTGTGTGTTTGCAACAATGTCAGATTTATGTTAATGTCCAGTTCCACCCGTACTGTACTACAGCTGTTGGTCTATCTCTGCACCTTATGCTTCCGTAGAATATGATTCCCCCTCCCCCTGGCATAAATAAAGTATTTCCATTGGGATAAACTTCTCTGCTAATAACCACCAGGCTTTTTCTCCAATCAGAATCAAACAAGTAGTGAAAACTTACTCAGGAACGAGCACGTGTGACTACGGCCTTGTGTGAAAGTTTCACCAAATGATTGACACAGTTATGTTCACCAATGGTTCAGATGATGCACCCAGAAGAAAAAGATCCTCCGCTATACCTTTGACTCAAAACAATAACTGAACTTGTCATGTGTTCATAAACACAACAGGGGACAGAGACACTCTGGACTCTCATGCTAGAAGTATCAAATATCTCTTACAGACAACATGGGCAGATCTGTGATTTGAAGAGATCCATGATTCAATTCAAAATTTAATTGACCTGTAAAAAAAACAGGATTTAAATTTTCTACCTTGGCTTCATAACCACTGATGACCTCCGTCTTCTCGGAACGCCAGCCCCAGATCCCAGACTTATTTCTGAGTGTGAAAATAAAATAAAGTGTTTTAAAGATGGAGATAGGGGTGTGCAATATAAACGAAATAAGGTAGGAACGATATAAAATTGGGTAAAGGTAGAGTTTTTGGCTATATCGCGGTAACACATGATGTCACTAAGATGTGCACCCTGCTGACATTGGGACAACAGAATGGCAGTGACTGCAAGCATGGAGTGGGTGGCGGAGGAGGCCTATATGCCTCATGTGGCATATATTTGTCACATGAGGATATTTAAAAGCATGTCATTTTGACATATATAAACAAAGGAAAAAAATATAACGCAATATATATCATTACCGCACATGCTTCAGATTATATCGCAAAATAGATTTGAGGCCATATCGCCCGGCCCTAGATGGAGATTAAGTGTTTTTATTAAAAGTGCAGATGTGGTGAGAAAGAATTGTTGGTTAAATCCTCCTGTTGTCGACAGTTTTCTTTGTACCTCTCAAAAGCGATGTTCCGTGTGTTGAGATGCGTGGAGACGATGGGCGATGTGAGCCTCTGGGCTGTGTTCTCCTGCGACGGCTGCATGGCTGCCAGCAGGGAGGGGGCATCCCGAGGGGACAACACAAGCGGCTCAGTGTACACCACCTGCTTCTCGTGGTCCACCTCCATTACCACAGCCCCGTCATCTGAGAGGAGCAGGAACAGATGGGAAATCAGAGCAAAGCCTTGTGATCAAGTTACGGGCCTGATTTCTGCTCTGTGAGGCTGAGATCAACCTCTGACCTTTGTGTACTCACCTCCACCTTTGAAAATATAGCTGCGGCGTCCTTTAAGCCAGGTCATGTGTTCAAAGCCCAGAAGGGTGGTGTCCACGCGGAGGCACGAGCCGCTTTTCCACACCCGGTACACGTCACTGGGACAAACCTTCGACACTAGGGGCACTGAGGCGAGGAAGAGGGGAGATGTTTTACAAACAAATTAATGATTGTTTAGATGTTCTGAATCTACACTCCGAGCAGGCGATTTGAGAAAATTATCATAGCACAGCTGGTTCGGCCCATCAGTGTCGGATGAATCTCCTTTGAGGTTAGAAGATATAAGAGATGTAAAACAATTAGATATGAATAAAAGGAGGAGACATTAAACAGTTAAAAGTGAGTTGGCCTGTCTGACCAGCAGGGGCAGAGCGTTCCACACCCCAGCCTTTACAGCACACCTTTGGGACTTTTTAAAGCATCAGACGTTATAATCACCTCATAATGAATGGAAAAAGAATTTCTGACTAATTTCCAATATCAAACAAAATATGTTTTAATGATACAAATATTAACACATTTTAAATACCTGCATGAGGATATTCTAACAGCCTATGGCTATGCCAGAGTAGTCCACACTGCATTAAGTCTTGCCAAAACATTTAGGAGATAAGCATTTTAAACCCAAAACTGCTGTCCTGAGCTTACCCCTGTTAGAAGTAACTAAATAATTCAATTACCAGCCCAGTCTTTAATAAATGTGCTGCTGTGGGAGCTGTCCACCTGCTGTGGTGCTGAAAACACATGAATGACATCCACTTACCCCAGCTGGTGAACTCCCACTTCATCTCTACATAGAAGTCCCGAGCCTGAAGAGACACAGAGAGCGCTCTTTTATGGGTCAATAACACAGGATAATGATTTTTTTTGGGTTGCTGTTCCCTTTATAGTTCATATTTGGTGACTGGAAACATTTATATTAAAAAACTATAAGTACAGCTCCAGGTAAAAATAAAAAAAAATTAAAAATCTGGATGTGTTTGGGATTTCAACCAAAGCAGATGTTTCAGGATCCCAGTCTAGGTGATTTTACCTGTCTGAGCTTGCTGAGCAGCTCTGGGATGCCTGCTAGTCTCTCCGTGGCTCTCTTGAAGTCTCTGTACTGAAGCACCAGCTGCACCAGCTCCGGGTCCCCGGTGCTCACCGCCTCCTGCAAGACTAGAAAAGTCGAAAGACGTATGAACCACCTCCGCAGCCCGAGGGGCAGGACTGGGCAGGGCAGGGCAGGGACGGGACTCACCGGTCCAGCCTTGCGTGGTGCAGTGGGTCGGGTCTGCGGTGTGTCTCAGCAGAACCCGGGTGGACTCCAGGTGGCCCAGACACACAGCCAGCTCCAGAGGGGTTCGCCCTCGCGGATCCTGGCGCTCCACGTCGAGCTGCCAAACACATAAAACAGCAGCTTCAGCGCATTGCAGTGCGACGAAAACGCATCAGTAAACCAGCAGCTTCTCCCACTTTACCTCCTTCTTCTGTAGCTCTCGATCCAGCTCCAAGTACTGATTGTTCCAGACAAGCAGATGTAAAGGAAAGGCTTCTAGAGCCATGGCGTTGTTGACAGTGACCAACTATAGAAGACTTCAGGAGACAGACCGCAGTAACAACTACCAGGCTAACTCAGACCGCTGATTCAATGTAACTAGCAGCTAGCTGAGCTAACGGTGGCTAACTGGCTAATAACAGCAGTTTCCAGCTCCTCTTCGCTCCTGCTTTCCATTCTCCCGAAGGTCAAACTACAGATTTAACAGACCAACAAAGCGCCACAGTGCCCCTTCATTGTTTTAAGCATAAATACGTTCTTAAGAGTAAAAAATGAGAACTTCGGTGGAACAGTAGATGGTTAAAGTTAGCTAGCTTGTCCCGGTGCGGCTACAGTCATCCTCCGTTCCCATCGCAGGGTAGAAACAGTCTGTCAACAAAAAAGACCCGGCCCCTTTCCTCTACTTCCACATCCAGGTCAGTCCAGGGCGTGGAGCGAGATGCTGACAGCTGCAGAGCACATCTGTCAGCGGGTCATCAACATCTGGGAAACAACCCGTCCATCTCTACAGCTCCAGCAGCGGCTTTGTGTCCGTGTTTTTACCGAGATGTTGGGTGGAGTCAGGCCGGGGGATGTTCAGTGTTTCCTCCCGTGCAAATCACACAGGCTACAAACACACGAGTGTTTGACATTTTTTATTTTTCTTGAAAAATAACACGACATTAAGTGAAAAACGCCTCTCAAAATAATTACAATGCTACAGGATTCCCATCTTTATAATCTAAGGAGAAACAAAATGCACATTTACACAAAATATTTATATACGTATATTAATTTTTAGGGATAGAGCCAGAAGAGTAGTCTGGGAGGAGAATCGGAACACTTGACGGAAACTAAAGAAATGAGCAAACCCCCCAAAAATAAAAGTTTACATCTTTCACACTGAACTGGACAGGTCAAAGTAGAGTATCACATTTTTATGAATTAAAAAATGTATCAAAGAGGGACAGAGAGGAGTTTAATCTAGAGTATGTTTTACTTTTAAGTGCCTGTACAAAAAACAACAAAGAAATAATAATAATAGCACCTGAAGTTAAACTGTTTGGAAATGCACCATTTATCCCACACCTTTTCCTGTCACAACCTGCATCTTCTCTGGGGACAGTGAGGTCTTGCTGCTTCGATGATTGCCTACTCACATAAACTTTGTACACTTTTATGCATCAACAATGTATATTATCATATAAACCCAATGAAGTACTGGAGCAACAGAAGACTTCCAAAGCCAAATCTACATCTGGTCATTCCAACAGAGCTGCATAAATCTCCCCACTTTTAGCCGCCTTTCAAAAATCTCAAAGCAAAACTGCTGTGTGTGTGTGTGTGTGTGTGTGTGTGTGTGTGGTATTTCACTTAAAACTTTCTCCCCGACTAAAAATAGATAAGTTATCTACTCGAAGCACCCACATGTAGCTGAAGTAAGTTCAAAAGTGTAGCAAGGCAGAACATAAATGACGGATCAGCCAAATGGAAAGATCATTCTAGAACACAATTAGATCCCAAGGATGCAAAAGCTTGAGCTGGAAAGAAGGACTGTCCAAAACATAGGAGGTGGTCATTCACAGAACACAAGTCTAATCTGGCTAGTTATTGTTCTCTTGATCAAATAAAAAAAAAAATGATTTGCTTTTCCCACACAAAGTTATTGATGATAGCAAAAATAAAAAAGGCTCCTGAGTCTCTGTAGATACACAAAAAATAAGATGCATCGTTCTGGGCGTAACATCTTTTCTCAACAACAGTCAAGTGAGCAATCCCCTCAGATCAGTCCTCACCCCTCCTGCAGCGTCCCCACTAGGCGACTAGGATATCCGCTGGATCAGTTTTTCGTCCGACAGGCAATAGAGTGTGTTTACTGACAGCTCAGAGATCAAGGCCTCACAGGCCTTTCTAGAAATGCCTTTGCAGCCTCGCAGGTCCAGCAGTGAGATGCACGAGAGGCGGCGAAGATATTTCAGACATGCGTCTGTCAGTTTACTGCTGCCTAGGGGAAAAACACAAATACACATTTTTATTCAGCTGAAGCATAACCCAGAGAAACAACAGTTATGTTTGTTCCTGAAACTAAGTCTGTGTGTCTTGCACTTAGCTCTTCCCAGTATCCTCTCACCTCCAAGCTTGAGTTCCGCCAGTGTGTTTCGGGTGGACGAGCCGACTGCAGTCAGCAGGTTGACTGAGTGGTCGGTGAGGGTGTTGCAGTGGGAGAGATCTAGTTTGGTTAAATGGGGCATGTGGCGGATCACCAGGCGCAGAGTGGAGTCACTGATGTCCAATCCTGCTAGTCGCAAACACTGCATGTTCCTCAGCGGACTGCGATTGTCACAACCTGGAGCAGAACAGTTCCATTTTAGGATGGTGTAAAGAACACCTGGTGAAGCTGCTCTGTACTCACCCAGAGGAGTGACTAAGTCTCTGACTTGTGAGTCTCTGACCCCATCTGCATAACGCAAGTCCAGAGATCGGAGGAGAGGGCAGCCAGTGGAGCAGAGAGCTGAAATCGATGACCAGGAACAACCTGCCAGCATCAGATCCTTCAGCCCTGTCAAAAGGTGAAGATGTAAGCATTCCCCATGTGTGACAACACTGTGGGACTTATTGATTGCTGGGTTTCACTCACTTGACTCACATGACGTCTGCAGCTGCGCAAAACTCGAATGGTAGACAGGAAGTGTTTCGTTCCGCAACAAAACACAGAGATACAACGAAGTGCGATGGATGAAAGTGATTTTACTAACACTTTAAATGAGCTGGCACAGACGCGATATCGCGAGAAAATACATCTTTTAGGTTACGGCCCATATACTTTTAAAAGTCGCACTTTTCATACGTTGTGGAGGACTTATGCAGTGCTGAAGCAATCAGCTAAAAACTACCTTGTGCTGTCTTCCTGATATCACACTGCCAACCAAACAAAAGCCTTTTACAAATCTGGAAGCCTACAGCTGTTTTAGTTCAGGTTGGTTAACCTTGTAGTGATCCGGAAAAGCTTTAAATGACGATCGTCTTGTTTTTGCTCGGGTAAGTCGCGAGTTGTACTATTTTCTCATTAACTTGTGATAATACTGCTATCGCTAATGCTAACAATCAGTATGTGCTAAGATCTAATTGTAACTAACTTTTTATGCCTTTTTAAATCCAAATTTCTGGTTGGTTTGTTTGATTTTAATAAGGATTAAATGCCACGTTACAACACTAAGCTAACTGCTAAAAACATTAGCACTGTGAAAGCGCCTAAGCGATCGGCAAAACAAACTCTTGCTTCAGCTCCCGTTTTAAGCCGTATATTACTGATCAACTTCTGCCGTCTTGTTTCAGTATGTTTTCTTAAACTAAGTCCTTTGTGGCGCACTACGTTCGGGACTTGACAAAAACGTTTGTCTTTGTCCCGATTACAGTGATTGTAATAACCGTAGACCGCATAGAATTTCGGCATTTTAACGCCCGTCACCAAGGTAAATAGGGTTTTGTGCAGCGTCGGCTACTTCCGGACCCCGATCTGCATTTGGTAACGTAGATGAAACGTCATGTGAAACCCAGCAATGGTTGTGCAAATTTTAAAAAGTATGACGTGTGTCTGTGTATACCTGGGAGGCGGCCAACAAGCCAGCTGAGCTGTTTTTTGGAGATGTTTGTCCAGGAGAGGTTGAGTGTGACCGGCTGTCTCTTAATGATACCGGTGAGGGCCTGAGGAGTAACGGTGTGCTTGATGCTCAGGTCAATTCGTGACCAAAGCCTCTTGTCTAAACACCTACAAACAAGCACATGTTCATGAGCAACACAGTTTCTCTTCCAGAATACAATACTGTATTAATCCCACCGTGAAGAAATTCACTTGTTAAGGCAGCACATAGATACTTAGAGAATAGGGGAAAAGTTGGCTGCATCCAGAAACACAATCCAGTATCATAAGTAAATCATGTTCTCATTAAATGGTTTGTGGCTGATAAATGTTTTGGGAGGGGTGACTATTAGAGCTGCTGCCTACATGAAGTGGATAAGGAGTGGAATAAAAGTGCAAGAACTTGGACTGAAAACTGAAAATAAAACAAAGTGTGCGATGAGACATCAGACTCATCCAACTCGTCCGTAGCTTACGAATAATTTTAATAAGACTGAGTTCATCAAACAATCTTTAAGTGCTCTTGTGATGAGATCACTATTGTGTGTGACAAAACCTACAATAAAGTTAATGTCACAACCATCCTTACTTCCAAGTTCTTTGGTTTGCTGTAAAACATTTTTACTTCTACAGGATTTAGGTCAGTTACTGACATCTGAACCTGTAATTACATTTGTATGACAATAAAGAAAACAGCTTACAGCACAAAGATAAACCAAATGCTCTTTTTATATATTAAACTGATCTGAATCTGAACTGCAGCAGGTTACAAATGCAACTGACCAAAATGGATTACAAAGACACGATCTACTTTCTGGATAACGCAGTTGGATGTCATACACCGTGTTCGAGATGAGTCAGTTCTGCGCAGATTCGATCACCGTAGGCAATGATAACCTCGTCAGATCAAGGCTGCAGATTTTGGAGCAAGGCGCTGCAGTTGCTCTCCACCGGCTGCAAAACCTAGAGGATGACGGGAAACGCCTGGCTCTCACCTGATCCAAGTTCTGATTGGTTTACATTTTGATCCAAACATCCGGTGGTTGAATGCAAAATGTTAGATGGTCACATGTATTCTGTAAATCACGTAATGTTGATGACGACAACCATATAGGCCATAAAGAGAAATGTAATTTGTGTTATTTTGTCATGTTTCCTATGAACACACTAAAGCTACAGCTGATAACCTTTACTCATTATTACAGTCATGTCTCCATTTACAATATATGATATCCACAAGCACATAAGGAAGTGTTTCAGTTGCTAACAGGCACCAGAATTAAAATAAATAATTAAACAAGTGTGAACGCTAACGCGATGTCTTCATCCATCGTCACCCGCGAGCTACATGTAGGGAAATCTGTCTGACTTAAACGCCGGCTTTCAGCCACTCCCCCTGCTGCGTCCGTCTGCTCTCGTCTGTTTTCCAGGCGAGGCGCTGCTCAACTCGAAAAAGGCTATAGAAAACCCACAAATGCTGTTTGTGGATAACTCAAATCTGTGATAACATCATGTGACATCTGCATTAAACATCCAATGAACAAAACCAGCCACTTGATCAAAGCATCTCTTGCTGAAACTTATTTGGTTTTCTATTATAGTTTAGAGATTAAACTGAAATATTCTAAAGTGGTCTGGGAAAAGCAAGCCCCTCCAGAATGAGAATCACCCCCAACTCGAATGGGCTCGACACACGAGAGGCAACATCGCCTCTCCTTCATTCATTTTCAATGAGACATGTGCGACAAAGCGATAATGGCGGGTCTCCATCCTGCTAAGCAACATGCAAAAACGTGCATGTGAAATTCTGCGCTCGTGTACAGGCAAGCCAGCGACTTGATCCCAGAAAGTTGAGAAAATTATTACTGTCGCTCAGACAAGGACCAATCAGGGGAGGTTTTATTGATTGACCGCAAACATGGAGGAAAAGTTGATACTTGCTGTGTCGGTTTTTCCCAGAGCTTTACAACATTCCTACAAAAGAATACAGCGATCTTCACAAAAAGGCAGCAGCATGGGAAATCGCTGGTGCCAGAATTAACACATCAGGTAAGTTCACTTTACAGACGCAGACATTTTTGTAAGTGTATCGAGTGCAATAGCAAACCTGAATAAAAAACACTTGTGTATTATATAACTGAACTGCTTTTATGACCCAAAATTCCCTCCAATCTGACAATCAAAACAACGGAAGACTCGCTATTCGCCCTGGACCAGAACGCGTCGCTAGCTTTTGCCACTGCCGTGCGTCTCCTCCCGTATGTCAAGTTATCAAAGCGACGATATTTGCTGATCGCAGTGATTTGTCGCCTCTCGTGTGTCGAGCCCATTAATCAGCTGGGAAAGCAGGTCTTACCATTTGTACCAGTTCTTGCAGACAGCCATACAGATGCACAGATCTGCTCGACTCAAGTAGCGGAAGACAGACACCCAGACCTCCCTCTCACAAGTCGGGCCGCCCCCTGCGCTCTCCCTGTCTGCCTCGGTGCCTCCTTCCTGCAGGGCAGACAGAGGGACGCGGAGGTGATGAAGCTCAGATCCTGAAGATGACGCTCCGTTGCTCAGTTTAGCCGGTCTATTAAAGAAAGCTATTTTTGATGACTCAAGTCTCTCTGGGTGGGAAGTACGAGAGTCTGTGTGTCTGCTCCGTGTGTGTGGAGGCGTGTGTCTGTTTGAGTGCTGATCTGGACAAGGACCAGAATTCCTAATAGGGGGTCTGATGAGGGGTCTGCTCTGGCTGTGGACTGTAGATGGGGCATTCTGAGGAGCAACGGCCTCTAATTTGGGGACAATGGCTGAACAGTCCTGTTTGGCTCTGGGTGGTCTCTGAAGAGTCACTTTAAGAAACGAGCCATCCTTTTCCACTTTTGGAACATCCCGCTCCATCTCTTCCTCCTCCTCCTCCTCTGCACCACTTTGGTTACCCATCTCACTCCCATCATCATCTCGTTCTTTAGCCGATTGTTCTTTTCGCCTCGACTGGGGCCGATTCTCTTTATCTCCTCCTCTCCCATTGGTCACCCCACTCTGATCCTCCTCATCACTGCTGCTGCTGCTATTGTTGGTGCTGCTGCTGCTGCTGTCCTCACTGTCTTCATCCAGCTCTGCACGGCTTGCTCCGTCTCTGAAGCCTCGCCCTGCTCCCCCTCCCCGGAGCCTCACACCTCTTCCCCTCCCTCTGCGGGGTTCTCCTCTGGGCTCGAGCACCAGATGCTTCTGGACGGACCCGGTCGGTCCAGAAATGCTGCTGTAAGATGACCTACTAGCCCAGGTGAAGCCCCGGCCTCTGCTCTGAGACAATCTGCTGCTTGGGGAGTGCAGACGAGACAGCAGCCTGGAGCTGAGCATCCTAGGAGAGCGATCTAGAGACGCCTGCTTCTGTAAAGAATGGGATAAAGACCAGTCACAAATACTCAAATGAAAATGTAATGACCAAAAGATATTGTAATTTAGTGTTATAGCAATACTGAACAAATCTAAAGTGTATTTCTTACCCTCAAAAGTTTACTTCTCTCCAGTTTTATCTGCAATAAGAAGTGATGAAAAAAAAAAGTCAAGTTGATAAAACAACTTAAAACTCAATTTAGTGTCCAACAGGGTTGGGTAAACTCTGTACCTTTTTGGTACCGACTGAAGCATATATTTGTTAGTGATGAATTTTGGTACTTTTCCAAAAAATGTCCCCGCTAATGTGGGTCTCCATTTCTTTTACAGCTGCACCGTGTCACGTGACGGGAGTAGGAGACAAGTTTGTTAATTCACACACAGCCCGCTCCTCCCCCTTTCAACAACACCTCCTGCAAGCTAAACGAGTTACAGGTAGAAAATGCCCCCCCAAAAATCTAATGTTTGGCTGCATTTTATAAAGGTAAATGAGCAAAATGCAACATATGCAAGAACATTTGTCCTGTAAAAAACAGGAATACCAGCAGCTTGTCAAAGCACCTCATCCTGCATGGGGATGAGCGTGTAGTCATTGATGGCAAAAAAAAAAAGCAAAGCAGAGTTTGTAGCCTTCATCCTTTGCTGCATCAATAACACTCGAGGTGTGTGAGGGGGAAGGCAGCGTCAGCAAAACCACAGAAAGTTCCCAAGCAATAATAAACAAATAATAAAAGCATAAATACGCCATAAAACAAACTTCTCAGCCATTTGCTTACCTAGCATTAGAAAAAAATGCAGTTCAGCAGGCTTGTTATTGATATGAAGTGAAGCGTAAGTCTTACTGAAAGGCTAATCTACTGCTCGTCATATTTAGTGTAACTGTTAACCTATGGGGAACACTTGAAGAGGAGCTTCAGAAACATCTACAGGGACAATCATCAAAAGTGAGCATTATTGCATCTTTTATTTGCCTTTTCTTTAGCTTGTCTTAAGTTATTCCTCTACTTTTTTTGAACTGCTACATATTTTTCAATCCAGCAAAAGAAGGCACTGAACCCTCAGAGGAAGATGGAGCAGCAGGCACAAAGGTGTGTATATATTTATACGCACATCATTTTTGAGAAGATATCAAGATGGAAAATAAGAATTATCTAACATTTCCTTCCTGTATTTAAAATTTCATATAAACAGAAGCGATCCAGGCTTTCAGCCCTTGAGGAACTGTTTTCTGAAGCAGTTTCTACTATCACCACGACAGATCAGGGCTGTATATAAACAGATCTGTGCATATTTGTGTAGGAATGATTTTATGCATTGTGTGGTATTTACCAATTTGTACTTTTATGTAAAAATGTTCCTAAATACAAGAACCGCTCTGACCATGTGTATAAACAGCATCTAGTGGTAGAATGAGGGAACTGCAGTACTAAAGGTCTCAGTCCTCCACACATGTTCCTCATCTATAAAGTATTTTACACAATAAATAATCATGTCTGTGGAAGAACAGCCATTTTGCTAAATTGGTGCTAAAACCAATAAGACACATGTGACCGACAGGAATCTGACATTATATCATGGTTGTTCTGTGTTGGAGGATTTGGCAGAGCATGCTCTCTGGAGGGAACAAGTCCTCTGTGAACGCACTGATCTCCCACAAGGAGATCCTTCTGGAGCTACGCTGTGACGTGGGACCCATTGTGGAGCGACAGATCAACCACACAAATCTGGTTCCAGTTCATTTTTTATTTTACAACTACGAGAACCTCCCCAGAACCTCCTCTGCTCCCTGATCATACACGCTGCGTTGCCAAGGTAACCAGACTGGATCACAGCTCAGAAGAGACTGCTCTCTCAGACAACATTTCCAAATAAAACTAACTCTAAACAGAACGACTCCTTAAACGTACAATGTAAATGACAACCAGTTACTCTACAATTTATCATATAAATTTTTTCATTTATTCCTGACAGAAACCTCTCCTCTGTCCCGACCGCGTTTATAACCTCTGCAACTTGTTTGGTTCTCTTGCACTTCGGCAGCCCGTGTCTCGATCTCGCTGTCAATGTTTTTTTTTCCTGGGGGAGGGAAACACCCAGGGAATTCCATCATGTGGTGAGGCCAAAGTGTTAGAGTGGATGCTTCGTATTTTGTACACCAAAGTATAGCTTGTACTTTATCTTTTTATTTTCATACACATATTTAAGTCTTGTGCCTTTACTGTTTGCACTGAATGTTTTCTGTGATTTTTAGTTTAATAAAAACTTTTCGTACTCAAAATTTCTCTTAGAATTATACATATAGGTATAGAAAAAAAAGCATCGGTATGGTTAAAGATGTAGTATCGAAAAAATATTTAACACCCCGCCCTGAGCCAGGTGGAGGTGTGGCTGCTTCACCTGGAGACCAGTGCAGTGCAGCCACGTAGTCATTTGCTGACGTCACTTTTTCAGCTTAGCCATCAGCCACAGCTGACTCTAAATAAGTGTGGAGCAGAGTTTTAACCTGAAGATGGAGAAATCATTACGGTTTTGGGCTGAAATATTAAATTTAAACTAAGTTGCACTAAACTGCCACACTAATGATTACACACGTCTACAGCACCATTAGACACTCATCTGTACAGTTTACCAGCAACAAAGTTTAAGTTTATTTTGAGTTGATCAGGACGTGATGTACTTATCGGTCTTAAAGATTTGATTAAAAACCAGATAAAAAAAACCTCTTTGAATAACGAGTCTTAATTACCCTCTTCTTTAGCCGGTACTCCAGTGCGTTCTCTCTTTTGCGATTCTGTTGATGCTGCAGCAGCAGTTTCTGTGAAGGTGGTGGTGCTGTCTGTCGGCCTTGAGGCCGACTACGTTTCCCTCGTTTCACCCCGTCACCTGCACAGTTACCTTCCTGGTAAGCGAGCTTGGACTGTGGCGAAAACGTTGATCCATCTGAATCTCCACTGTCCTCATCACTAGAAGACTAAATGTTAATGTAACGGTTAATTTGAGAACCAACAGCAGTTACAAATGTTTGATGAGAACAGAAAAGTGTTTCTGAAACACAAAGTGAGGATCTGAGCTGTACCTCTGATGCAGAGTCTTTGCCCTGGTAACATTTAGGACACTCCCAGCAGCTGGGTAAGTCCTCATTGATCTTCCCATCACCAGGTTCCTGAAACGAAACAAAGCTCGACAAATGCAGCAAAACAAACAGCTTAGAAACTCTGTGAAATATTTAGTTTTTGGATTACTGACGGACTGACTGAGTTTAACTGGTTGAAACTGAAGTTAATGATCTCACTCTGTTGTCTCTGAACAACTACACTTGTGCCACTTGCACACTAGCATCAGCTCCACTCCGCGCAGCCCACCCCAGCCTCTCCGTGTTCGTTCCACACTGCATTAGGAATGCGCACGTAATTGAGCACATGGGTAGTCTCCAAAATTGGCACAAAAATATAAATATCAGTGATGTCATGAGCATATGGGCAGAGCAAAAGAGCAAGGAGAAGTCTCCATTATTAAACAAAAGCGGCCTGAGCATCTTCCTTTTGGAGACTCTGTCTGTCTGTCTGTCTGTCTGTCTGTCTGTCTGTCTGTCTGTCTGTCTGTCTGTCTGTCTGTCTGTCTGTCTGTCTGTCTGTCTGTCTGTCTGTCTGTCTGTCTGTCTGTCTGTCTGTCTGTCTGTCTGTCTGTGTGTGTGTGTGTGTGTGTGTGTGTGTGTGTGTGTGTGTGTGTGTGTGTGTGTGTGTGTGCGCTCCTCACGGTGGGGAGAGAAAACGGCTTCAGCCAGAGGCACGTTAACTCCACAGCATCCAGAATGACAATGAAGTGCACATGCGGAAGGCCCCGCGGGCTGTTTCTATCAACCAGAGGCTCCCCCTAATGGTGAGTGAGACTTTGAGCCGGCCAATCATTCAGCAGTTGGACCAGTTCGGCTTAAGGCAGACCGCCTCAGGAAGAGTGGACAACATCTGGTTGCGAGTCGGAAAATCCAAGGCTACCCAAAAGAGAACACTCCTAACCCGGCGCAGGCGGAGCAGAGCTGATGCTAATGTGTAAGTGCCATTAGAGCCAATCACCACTCGTCACACTGGCCAACTCTATGAATGCACTTAACACACAACTCTTGCTGGTCGCATGTGGGAAGCCCTCGTTGGCTGATTCAACCCACCAATCAGAGGTGGTAGGAGAGAATTTGTGCCGGACAAACAGTCCAGTGTCACCTTGGTCCCAGTCAGACCGCTGAGGAAGAGGTCTGATAAAGAGTCACCTCAGAACAGAAAACACACATATTACCTAGAAGTGAAACCAAAAAAAGCTATCCAGCCCATATTGTACGGATCCAGACGTGGAAGCGGCATTAGAACCCTGGTCATGAAATCATCTATAGAACACAACAAACTTAAACTCTCTTTAGTCCCCTCCAAAAGGGTCAAAGCTTTTCTGCAGTCTCCCATAAGTGAGGAAAGAAACTGCTGATCCTAAGTAGGAATGCATCTGTTACACAGGATTTCTGTTTTGGAATTCCTATAAATTAATTTGGCATTGGACACCAAGTCAGATTTTAGGTTTATCAAAAGGGTAAATGCTTCCAGACACCTGAAGAAAACACACCTTCACACACTGTCGATGCACAATCTGTGAACAGACTGTGCACTCCATGAGAGAGTGAGTGCTCGGATTTGATTCATCAAACTCCCCCTCTCCACACACGGCACACCGGGCTGTGTTCGGCAAGGCAGGCTGGAGGGCGGATAAAATAACATTTATTGGCGACACTGATTTGTTAAATTGCAGCTTTGAAAATTAATGAAATTCATCAGTGAGGCTTTTTATGCCCAATTATCTGTTTAGTCTCACAAAAGATATTAAGTATGAGTTTGAGGACCTACTGTTAAACACTGCCGCATCATGCAGCCCTTCTTCATGCGCCCAGGCCCACCAAACTTCCTCATGTCATGGCAGTACTGGCAGGCACCACACTCTTTCCTGCGACAGCCAGCACAACGTTTGCACCTGACTCGTCTGCGCCTCAGAGCTGAGAGTGAAGTTCCTTTGGTGGGTCTCTGGGACTTGTGGAGGGACGGGCCCATAGGACGATAAAGAACAGGTGCAGGTGGAGTGGGAGCAGGAGGCTGGTACCATGATGGCTGTAGGAATCAGGCAGAAAGTACACAGTTTAGACGAACGTCCCCCAGTCTATGTGATGATGAAGTACTCTGAACTAACTGAATGTGTGCGAGACTCCCTTCTGTGCTCACCCTTTTAGGCCATTTGACAATAGGCTCCCCAGTGTAGACTAGCTTAACTTGGTCAGATGCACATTTCCTCAGGACATCCTGGACACAAAATTGGGACGTGAAAATAGCACTATTAGAAAATGGGTCTGAATGAAGATTAGAAATGATAGAAGTTTGGAAACACCAACCTTCATGTCCTCCAGCAGGGCTGCTGCATTTTGAATCCCAGCAGGAACACACTTTTTGTTGGCAGGAAGCTCCTCCAGCTTCCCTAGAAGGTTCCAAAGGCCCTCCAACTCAAAAGGGGTCAGGAAATGCCGAGGTGTGTTAACTTGAGGCTTTTGTTTTTCGATTTCTTCTTTCTTTATTTCCAATTCGGTGACATTAACTTCATTTTCAGAGTCACTGTTGATCCCATTTGAAGTTTCGTCCATGGAGACATCATTAATCTCCAAGTCAGAGGGGGTCAGTCCTGAAAGCAAGTGCAGGTTGGTGATAAATCTGCTTCAAAATAGAACTGTCTTTGTTTTTATTCTTCCTTACCGATACCAAGAGAGTATTTTTGGAACTCAGGCGTGAGGTGAGAGATGTTGGTCAGACAGTAGAGGTACCTCTCCAGGACATACCAGCACATCTCATAGTAGAATGGGTAGCGAAACTTTGCTGGCACCTAAAAGAGGGTTAGTTGTAATAAAATTCAGGTTTGATCAAAAACATTAAAACTACTAAACATGAATGCACAGGTTTACTAACGTTGATTCTGTGTGTGTATAAATAGATGTTATTGCTTTAGTAAAACCTGGGAGGCATGATGCCTCTCTACCTAATATCTTAAACATACAAGAAAGGGCAGGAGACCAAAGAAGTGAAACAATGGATGTCCTGAGAAAAAGATCATTATAATCTCTATGATCTACATATGACCATGCCTTCTATAGTCCCATAATCTGACAGAACAGAAGAATTTCAGGGTAACTTATTTATGAAAATCAAACAAATAGAACTAGTAATGTGTTGAGCTTCTCACCCGAGTACGGTCTTCTATGTTGTAGATGCAGAGCTGCATGGGGATGTTAAAGCTGTGAAGGAAATTTCCTCCAAACACCAGAGTGTCCTGTGGGGTGTAGACTGCATGAATCCAACCTACAACACATGAAGTAGAGCTGAGTGGTCAAAGGAAGGCTGGGCTGACAGAAGAGGGAGAAGACTGTATTCAACTGGTTGGTTGTTACAGGGCATCACACCTGATGGGATGATGAAGGTGTTGCCCTGTTTGAGCTCTATCCTCTGACAGTCGTGACACTTGTCCCCCAGGAAGATGTCTCCTTGCTTTCCTGATAAAACCCAGTTTTCATACATGTCCAGATTCTGAGGTGTGGGTGGAATCAGCCAGAACACCTGCAGAAAGTACACAGTAATGCATAAACAGATCCGAAGAATAAAGAATAAACCTGCTCACTTAGTTCAATTATCCCTTGCATTAGATAACATTTATTCAGGTCCACCTTTTCAAACTATCTTTTTTTTTCCACTCAGTAAGAGGGATGAAAGGATCCCTGATTAGTGAGGATGCATGAGAGCAGTCAACACGTCAGTATTTCACTGGGCCGAGGCAAGCTGCTTTCAGCTGCAGCTTTGATACTACATGAAAGCATCAGTGTTCAGATAATTCAGGCAGACGTAAAAATAAAATACAAATAATTAACATTACATTTGTTTTGATTTATAATTTAGAATCCAAGTAGAAAATTACACCTGTAAACTTTGGAAAAAACCAGATGACAGATTAGATTTGAAACCTCTGAAATCTTGGATTTGTTTTAGATGACAAGAAATGTACGTTTTAATCAGTCTGATGTTTCCTGAGACTCCAAGAACAGCATGCCCTCTGTCACCTATAAACCTATTTTGATTATTATTTGAGGTTTCAGATGGTCTTGTATCAATCCGAGATCACGTTACCAGGATTATGCTTTTTATAAACATCTAGGCCAAACTTAAAAATGTTGTACAAGTTTAAACATTTTCTGCGTACTTGTAATAATGAGTTTAGAAGCAGTATAGATAAAATCCAGCCTGATAACATTCAGTGTTTTGCAGTAAAGCCTCCCATTAGAGGTAAGACTCATTTATAACAACATCAATACAAATTAGTGCTTTAGCTGAATTTGCAGAGTAACATGGGAAGAACCAGCAGAGTATTTCAAAATGACACCATAACCATTATAAATGTGTCATAATTAAAACAGGAGTTTAGAAGAAACCGGTACTCAGAAATTTTGGTTTAAACGAACAACGGATCAAAAGAACAAATGTAATAAAAAGGGATTTGCATGAAACCATGAAAAAAGATTCATGGCACTAATTTAAATTTCAATGATCAAATACAAGATATTAAGTACTAAAAGATATAAAATCAATCTGCCTATAATCCTGTGTGTTTTTGCTATCATTCAAACTTTAAAACTTGTGTTTTGTGCCTCGTGATGCCAACACTGACCTTTGCCCCTCGCAGGATGTGGTACCAGACTGAAGTTCCACCAAAGTCAATGTGAAAGTCCGTAAAGCATCCCTGCACACTCATGAGACAGTACCTGAGAAATAGACAGAGGCTCACATAGAAATACATAAAAGGCCCAAACTGAGACAAAACACACTTGACAGAGTTTCACATGAGTGAAGATTAAGTGTGATTACTCACTTCTGGACTTTGGGATAATGCATGTCTATGATGGCATTGGTGGAGTCTCTCTGTCGCTCCTTGAGATGGCGAGGCCACATGTTGTCCACCCAATCTACAAGGTCCACCTGAGTGGAGCAGGGAGCATAGCAGAGGAATTTATGTTTTAGATTGTGTATAGATTTAGATTAGTCAGAGCTATAAGACGACGATGACCTTACCGATGCCGGTCGCTTGACCAGATTCTCTAGTTTCGTGTGGCTGAACTCCAGGCTGATGACGTTGTAGAGTTTCTCTCGCTCAGACGGTGGTGTCTCATAGTAGCGTCCCCACTGAGCCATTGACATCTCAATTCCCTTCTGGGTGTTTACATCCATCACGTCTACGATTCGTCGACTTCCTATAAAGAGATTTTACAGAGATTCAACAATAAAAACACATACATATGTACTTTCAAATTCAACATGCTCTAAACTAATTCTTATTAAGTGCAACAGTGTGTGGGCCACCTAAGGACCAAAATAGTGAAAAAGTTATTCAATCACAGTGTCAAAGAAAAGATGTCATGGTTACAAGGTTTCTACTACAACACTGATATTAGAAATGTTTTGCCTTGCTAATTTCTCCAGAAAATGTTTAAAAAGGTACTACAGCCGTCAAGACAGCTGTGCTGTATTTTTGATTTCAAACTCTAAATGCAATCACTTTAATAAACATGTCACAAACTTACCAACAAACAACTTCACATCACTCACGCTGAAGTCAGAATCAGGCATCCTATGGCAGAGAGGGTCACATTGTTGTATTTACTGAGTAACAGCTCAGCACCTTCTGTGTGGTTGTTGTATGATTCGACATTGTGACTTACTGTAGACCAAGACCATCAGCCTTCCTAAATATGATGGGTTCCCGGAGCCCGTCCCTCTGTATGTATTCATACGTGAAATCTAAACAGGAGATGAAAATAAAAGAAATAATTCAGAAAGCCACAAACTTCAAAAGTAACTGAGCTAAAACCAGACCTAACTGCTACGGTTTAGCAGATAATCTCTTCTCTTGTCATTTTATTAATAGCTTTAATAACTACTTTCCTTTACCAGACATGAGATGGTCCTATCTGATTATATGACTGCTTATTTACAGGCAGATGTCTCACCTTTACCCTCCATAAGTTTGACCAGCTCAGAGCCAAACCTCTCACACTGCAGCTTCTCATCCAGGTCAAACATCCGTTTGCCTTCAATTTCATCATCTGAGATCCCATCATCCTGATAGCGGCGACGCGTGCCTGTGCGCTGAAGATAAGAGGGTTTTCTGTTACCTTCTACATCAAACACAAAACAATTTTATTTGACGAGGATAGCAGGAGTTTCTTTATGCTGACTCATTTTAGTTGGCACAATGATTAATGATAAATGACCCGCACTTGTATAGCGCCTCTCAGAGTAAGGACTCCAAAGCGCTTTACACTACAATGTATCATTCATCCATTCACACACACATTCACACACTGATGGTGATGAGCTACAATGTAGCCACAGCTGCCCTGGGGCGAACTGACAGAGGCAAGGCTGCCGAGTACAGGCGCCACCGGTCCCTCCGACCACCACCAGTAGGCAAGGTGGGTTAAGTGTCTTGCCCAAGGACACAACAGCAGAATTATCTGTCCGGAGCCGGGATCGAACCTGCAACCTTCCGATTACTGGACAACCCGCTCAACCTGTTGAGCAACAATCTTTGTTGGTGAGTTGGGCACAATTACCTCTTCAATCAAACTTAATTCTGTTAACACACAATTTTAAAGAGAAAATAAGAGTTTTTTAAAGTAGACATTTAAGATTATTCTTGTTGTGAACTGTAGGGCTGCAACAAACGATTATTTGGATAATCGATTAATCGGATGGGGTCTCGACACGATTAATCGATTAATCGGATTACATGGGGAAATTTTTAAAAACTGCTAGGGAAACGTTATTTCTCTCCTTCCTTCACTTTATTTAACACAACATTATTAGAAAACAGTTCAATAGCAGAAAAACAACATGCCATCACCTAAATTGTCTTATAAGGTGTGTAGACAGAGACCCTAAGCTACATCTATCTGTGACCTAAAATAATTGGTCCAAGTTAAACAGCTTAAGGGCAATTCTCATCTGTTTTGTTTGATCTCATCTGTTGACATTTATTTTAAATGTAATTAAACATAGGCTGTGAATTAATCAAAATTGATCACTATTTCCAAAAATGACTGAAAAAATACCAAATAAAACAAAAGTAAATGAATGCCATCCTCCTTGCGATGATGCCCTGGGCAACTGCCATAAAGTCACATCAAGAAATGCTGCTGATCATTCCAATGATCCCAAATAGACTCACATTAGGCCACATGAAAGCAACTGAACCCAAAAATATATTAACCAGTATATAACTGCACTCTCACACAACACGCCTGCAGCAACAGTTAGGACTCCTCCCTCCCTTTTAAAAGCGTTTTTGCTTCTGAGGACATTGTGGTTGTAAAACCACATGCTAGTAGTCTGGCCCCGGTGTGATCAACCAGTTTCTGCGGGAATGTGATGGCGGAACCAGGGCCAGATTAACACTTTGTTGTACCCTGGGCAACAATATTCAAGGGCTCCATCATCACGACCCGAGGATCACCATAATGTGGTCACATACAGAATATTTTACTGTAATATGCAGTAAATATACTCAATACTTGAATGCCTGACAACACGTAACCCGCCCAGAGTAACCTTTGACCCACCTCGTGTGGACTGACCAATGAGGAGAGGGTCTTAACTTGAGGCCCTCTCTTCATTGGTTAGTCTGCATGAGACTGACTCTCAACTGACGTTCAGTCGTAGGCAGCGAAGCTTCTCTGTGCAGTGCAAAAGCCCGGGTGGACAGTTTGTTTAATGTAGGGTGACCATATTTCCATTTCCAAACAAGAGGACAGGGGATCTGTGCCTATGACGTCACACTATGGCAACGCCACACAAACCATGTTGGGACCCATTTTTTGTAAGAACTAAATTAATATCAGATTCTGCCAATTAAAGGGCTCTAAAACAATTCATATGTAAATATTTTGCATATTTAATGCAAAATCTAATTTTTCTGCTTTAGTGCTGCAACAAGGTTTTATTAATAATAAATTATTATACCTTTCGTTTTACTACAGCATCGGTAAGCTTCCTGTGCACAGATTATTAAGGATGCTTGTTTCAGCTGTGAGATTAGACGATAGGATCAATGAAAAAATAAGTTGTCACAAACTCCATGGAAAGTTTCAGAGAATCCACAAATAGTGGCTTTCAAATGGTTTTGTTACTTTTTGCAAGTTTATAAAAGAAGCAGATGAGACAGCATGTCTGATAATTTAGTTTTTCATCTGATAATATTAGAACATGTCAGTAATGTCTGAGGGGCTTTTATAAACACCATATAACTAACACTACTGGAGAGGGCATGAATTACACAGAGGCTTCTGGGGAGCCCAGTTATTGGGGGGGGGGGGCATTTTGCCTTGGCCCCCAAAATGTCTTGAAACGGCCCTGGGTGTGTGACTGAGTTTTGAAGGTGATCTGAATTGTATCAGATGTGTAAATATGACATGTGTATAACTTGTTGTTTTTTATAGGTAAAAACGTGTAGTGGAGATAAATCTACCTACATTTTACTTTTCAACACTTTGTTTTGTTTTCTTGTTTTTATTTAACTATTTTCCTGTCCTGTCTGTCTCTCATCTTCCTGCATCTCCTCTAAACTCTCCAGAAAATCTGTTGCCTGGATTCTTACCTTTTCACCTCATCAGTTACTTTTGAGCAGATCAAAGGGATCTCCTGACCGAAAAGCGCAGAGCGCGTTTTCGATGCTGCGTGAGGTGACATCACCACAGCACAGGTGATGAGCTCCGCAGTAGCGAGCTTCAGGCACAAATAAGACAGAAAATAGAGAACATGTGCGGACATGAACGATCGTGTGCTAATTATAGTTTTTTGGTTGCGCCACTTTGAGAATGGACCGTGCGCTGGAAGCAGCTGCCTGGATCGCTGTGCAACAATGCGGAACCGGTTCGCAGCAGCGCAAGTCTGCCGGCTCTCCCTCGCGCTGATCTGCGGCTCTCCCTCGCGCTGATCTGCCGGCTCTCCCTTGCGCTGATCTGCGGCTCTCCCTCGCGCTGATCTGCGGCTCTCCCTCGCGCTGATCTGCGGCTCTCCCTCGCGCTGATCTGACTTGCTCTGGTCTGCGCGCAACGGCGGGCGGGAAGGGGGGGGGGCGCTTTTGGAAGAGTTGTGATACACAACGAATCGATGACGCAATTCGTTGCCAACGCTTTTAGTAATCGATTTTCATCGAATTTATCGATTCGTTGTTGCAGCCCTAGTGAACTGATTCTCGTCTCATCTTCCTCCACTTATCCGGGTCCAGGTTGCGGGGGCAGCATCCCATCTACGGAGCTCCAGACCGTCCTCTCCCCAGCCACCTCCACCAGCTCCTCCGGCAGGACCCCAAGGCATTCCCGGACCAGATTGGAGATGTAACCTCTCCAACGTGCCCTGAATCGACTCGGGGGCCTTCTGCCGGCAGGACATGCCCGAAACACCTCCCCAGGGAGGCGTCCAGGAGGCATCCTGACCAGATGCCCAAACCACCTCAACTGACTCCTTTTGATCCAGAGGAGCAGTGGTTCTACTCCGAGTCCCTCCCAAATGTCCGAGCTCCTCACCCTATCTCTAAGGCTGAGCCCGGCCACCCTACGGAGGAAACTCATTTCGGCCGGTTGTAACCGCGATCTCGTTCTTTCGGTCATTAACCAAAGCTCATTAATTCAATTCAAAAATACTTTATTAATCCCAGAGGGAAATTGATTGCTGTAGTAGCTCAGAATAATAATAATAATCAAGTCATCAAAGAGTTATTGTATATTACAATGGCTGTTGGCAGGAAGGATCTCCAGTAGCGGTCAGTGTTGCAACGAAACTGAAGAAGCCTCTGACTGAAGACACTCATCTGTTGTCGGACAGTCTTGTGAAGAGAATGCTCAGGGTTGTCCATAATTTTCTTGATTCTCTGGAGAATCCTTCTTTGCATTAACTCCTCCAGTGGTTCCACAGTCGTCCCCAGAACAGAACCAGCCTTTTTTATTAGGCTGTTGAGCCTTTTCAGGTCCCTGCTTCTGATGCTGCTACCCCAACAGACGATGGCTGAAGAGATTACACTCTCAACAACAGACTTGTAGAAGATCTGCAGCATCTTGCTACAGACATTGAAGGACCTAAGCTTCCTCAAGAAGTGCAGTCTGCCGTGTCCCTTCTTGTAAACGGCTTTGCTGTTTTTCCTCCAGTCCAGTCTGTTGTCCAAATGAACTCCAAGGTATTTGTATTGCTCAACCACCTCCACTTCTTCTCCCATGATGGAAACAGTGTTTGACTCCACCCTGTTTCTTCTGAAGTCTAAAATCATCTCCTTTGTTTTGTTCACGTTCAAGGTCAGATGATTGTTTCCACACCATGCCATAAAGCACTCCACCAGCTCTCTGTACTCAGCTTCCTGTCCATCTCTGATACACCCGACAACTGCAGAGTTACCTGAGTATTTCTGTAGATGACAGGTCTCTGATTTGTACTGGAAGTCTGAGGTGTACAGGGTGAAAAGGAATGGTGAGAGTACAGTCCCCTGTGGTGCTAAATGTTACTGATCGCCTGGTTTGATGTGCAGTTCTTCAGCCTCACAAACTGTGGTCTGTTTGTCAGGTAGACTTTAATCCAGGAGATAGTTGAGGCCCCCACCTGTGTCTTCTGAACCCTTTTCAGATAGACATTCTTGAATATGTGTGGACAATTCAATCCGGTTTTTAACCGGAACTGTGTTTTCAGACACACCACTTTTGTACCGGAACTTCTCCTTCCGGCTGCCTTCACACAGCAGGGAAAAGTTCCAGAGGTTGGGGGGGGGGGGGGGGACATAGTGCGGCGGGCGTACTTGCGTCATTTACCAAAACAAAGCCATTCAGTCAAACATGGCAGACGAAGAGATAGAATTCCTCTCACTGATCGGACCTATGTTAAGCATAATTCTGCGCACACGAAGACGCATAAGAGACCAGGATGATGAAGCTCAATTCAAGATCCCGGGACCCATTCCCCGACCCGAAGGTGCAGGGAAGCTACCCTCTCGTCCCCCTGGGGTAAACCCCAACACACAGGCAGAGAGTCTTGGGGCTAACAAAAAGCCAACCCCAGCCCTCCGCCTCTCACCCGGAGCAACTCCAGCAAAGGAGAGTGTACAC